AACATTTGCTTACCAGGTAAGCCTTTCAAATTCAATATGCCTTTTATGCAATTTTATCCAAGATGCTTAATCCACATGCTCGCAGATGTCATCAAATGCAACTCTCGCATAGATACTTGGGCTTGCGTAATGGAAGTACCTTCTCCATTTGAGAGGATGACTGGTATGAATCTGACTTGCAGATAAGTAACCACGTGATGAGTTCCTGCAAGGATCTACCTTAACTTATCTTGTCTCTCCAGCAAATTCCACAAGGTCCAGTTTTAAGCGGGCACCAGAATGGTTGTAAATGTTAAGGGTCCACTGAAAAGTCTTCCTGTAATGACTTCCAGTCGAAGTTCATCATCATCCACTTCATGTAGACGAAAAGAGAGAGGTCAATTCAAAATCTACTGTATTGTGCACATGCACGAATGCCATATTAAAGCGATGTTTGGACAGATGGACCACTGGAGCTGGGTAGCAATCACAAGTGGGATGTAGCCGCAGATTCACACCAAAGAAGAAGGTTGTAACTGAGATGTGAATATGAATGAGGTGAGCAAGAAATTTCAAAGTGACAAATCACATGATCTAGTCTGAAAGGCAGAAAAGCGTTACCTGTTGAATTTGCTCGTTTTCCCTTCTCTTTCCGCCAAAACATATCTGACCTGGTGAACACTTGACATGATGTTTGCTTCCCCTTTTGGAAACAAAGAATATCTGTACAACAAAAGATCCCACGGCTCTTTTCCTTTCATCTGTGTTATTTTCTTCAAGTAGTATCAATGATGAACACCCTCCTGATATTTTTTCCAATTTCTGAAAATTCATATATATACCCTTTTTCGATTTTCCTATAAATAGTTCAAAAGGGTACACTTCATCCGAAAGCCAGCACTCATCTCTAGATCTTCTAGTCTTACATTCCCTGCTCGGAGGCGATTCCATCAATCGACACGACAACCAGGATAACGAGAGGCAATTTTGTTAGATCTGATCCGATGTCCAATTGACATCACCAAAAGGCAAAAGGAGTTTAGAATGTTTTTTCCGCTCATGCTCGTTTTTAACCCACCCCCTCCATCCCCCACCGAACAAAGCAAGCACTTGCTGGCCCTCCTTCCTTTCCTTTTCTTCCCTCCTCGGGGATCCGAGAAAATAAGTTCCAAAGGAAGGTGGGCGAGGGCCGGAAGAGGCCAAACTCAGATTCCCCGTGGGTCTGGGTCTGCGGGGACTGCTATGCTAAGGCCGGGTCACATAGGCCCCGACCTCACTCTCTATCTCTCTCATCCCTTATCCATCATCTTCTTACGTCCACTCAACACTTCCTTAACCAGTCCTACAGATTCCGGCATGCACGTATGCCGGCGTTGTATATACGTACCGCTCCCTACAAACTCCCCGCCTACGAGAGCTCACTGACGTATGGGCAGACACACATGATGCAGGTATAAGAGAGTGCTTGGCGTATTGGCGTTCAGATTTACTGTAAGTTGTAAGTCTCTTGGTTCTGTACGATTTGTGACGGTATTGCTAATAGTAAATTATGAGATGATGATGTGCCTGGAGAACTGAGTTCCTCTGCTAGCGGTCTGGTCGAGCTCGGAATTCGATAGTGAATAGTCGCGATGACATCGTCTTGAAACGGCTGAAGCATTTGGTGGAGGATTAGTTTTCAAACTTGTACTATAATCGTGGAAGTTGAAGTGTGGTGGGTTTCCAACCGACTGTAGCCGCAGCATACAGCAGTTCGTAAGAAAACCTTATAGTATGGGAGGAAAATGAGAATTCTCCTGACAGTTTGTGAACTAAAATTGGATCGTCAAAAACGAAATCCTTGTTTCTGTTTCCATGCAACCTCTTTGTTGCTTTATCGGGCACAGTTATAAGTGCCCACATCAGAGAAGATCCACTCTTCAGCTGGAGTGCTGGTGCCAACATTTGAAGTACTTTCTTTATCTATCCTCGATATACCTGATCTCCAGACAGTAACACGTACAACAACATCCTAAAAGGAAAAAGGTACGCTATTTATGTCAGGTGGTCATTCATATCCAACTGCAGCAATCTATCGAACCCCATCCTTGTTGTGTAGTTTATGGTAAAGGTTTGGTCTCGCGTCTCATCACTTTCTAACTCAAATCCCAACGAAGAGGTAGTGGAGACACTACAAAGTACTATTGTTAGGTGACCAGGAGAGTCCTATTGACAGACCATACTTGCATACTTCTTGGAGTGCTACCACGAGTTGATGAATTACTGAGGGTCTGGATTATACATGATCATCGAGCACTTGGAACTAAAGCCTCCAAAGGTTTAGAATTTCATGCGGCATCGCTTGGAGGTTATTTTCAGATCCCCTAACATTGAGAGGCCAAGTGGATAGCAGAAAGGATGGGAAAACCCCATCATCATCTCATCAACATCACCCCTCTAACATAACATCATGCACCTCGACGATGAGCATCATGTCACCTGTTGTTTACTTTTGGAACAAAGTTGCGCAGACACAGCATTTACCGTTGCACGAGAAGCAGCCTCCCTGAGAGGACAGGGGTGGAGACAAAAGCTCTCGTTGACGGTATCTCGAAACCAGCTGGAGGAAGCGGACACACATTAGAACAAAAAGAATCAACACAATCAGCACTAATCTCGCACCTTAATGTTGACGGAGGATGTTTCAAAATAAGTGTACCCTCGTTCCTCTAAATAACCGGAAATCATTCCAGTTCTCTTGTCCTTTTGTTGCACTTTTCTGTCGGTACTCTGTGTGTCGCTGGACTTGCTTCCTAAACCAGCGGCCTTCGTGAATCAACCTCTCCTAAGTCCATGAGTCCCCAGCCAGTAAACAATGGTGATTTATCCTGTACCAAAGCAGGCACCAGTCCTCGTTTCTCTACCGCTTCTCACAAGTTCCATGCCAGCACCACGTGTCCAGAGTCCATCTGACTGGAATTTCGATGACATTTCACTTCCACTTACTATCGAGATAAGGCAGTACTGTACGGTGAGTTCCTACAGGTTCACAAGTCACTCACATTCCCTTGCTGCCTTGTGGGCCAAAACCAGAGCCAAAGCTGCTGACATAAACAAAGTGCAGTGGAAAAGGCATCTTGGTCAAATAATTGTAATGACGAGGCTGGGCCCTGGTTACCCGGTTCAGTTTCGCCCTTGTACGGCTTCATGTGGTGTTTTTTTTGCAATTTACTTGGGCTCCCCTTGGGCAAATAATTGTAATGACGAGGCTGATGCTGGTTTGCTTCTGTTCAACAATTACACCAGTCGAAATTCATGGGGATGTATTTCCATGTTGCAAACAGTATCGGGGGATTCTTCGCACTGTTCAATTCAAGGTACAATGAATGCCATGTGATTGCTTTGGGACGTGCCGACACTCCAGCTTCTGGAATAATGCAGAGATCCATAGATCTCCGAATGACACGAATCGAGAAATGAGGGTGGTTTGTGAGTCTCTGGTGCTACTGATTGGGTGGTGTTGTTCATGCATGTGGGTGATACACAGCAGTTAACACTGGAGAGGTGCAAAAAAGGTGAAGAGAGGCATGCAAGAACATGGAAGAGAAAGGACTCCCATCGTATGACACCTCTCCGACAAAAGTCTTCTGTTGTTGGATCAGGACAATGGCAATGGATACGCCTCTCGGAATGCTGCGTCCCTCGCTGGAAGTGCTTGGGTCGCCTTTTGCCACTGCTCACGGAAGCAGGGTTGGATTCCAAGAAGATTACATTCCACTACGCTGGACCAGAATTGCACATCATGTCATTCTCGCATGGAGAAAGATCCAAAACTGTCAGTACACCTTCCTGGAGACAGCTCCACAAATTCCGCAGGAATTGTGCAGACTGCGTGCACAAGACAGCGAGTTTACAAGACGAACTTGTCTTGCAAGTTCATACGAACTTACAACTTTCGGATATTTTATGGTATCAGGGTGTGGCATTTCCACAACGCGAAACTCGAAGAGGAAATGGACGACCCACAGTACTCTCAGCCTTCAGGAAACCTTTGGTCTCATGTCAGTCGAACGCCGGGCTCGAGTGAACAACAAGTTATCAAAGATCAAAGATCAAAGATCCGCAGTTTGTTGCTGCTGGCGTTTGTGGGAGGGGAAGAACGCTGAGACTGAAGCGCGAGAGGTACGAGTTAGAGAGGCAAGAAGCATGCACACCGAGCAGCCTGCGGGGATACTGGAGATCAGAGCAAAAGATGCTGACTAGCTAGCGGGTCGATGGAAGCTGAGCTGGAGGCGTGGATCTAACCCGGCTGCTGATGGAGCTGAGGATCTTGCTGGAAAGAGAAGACTGTAGAGTGGCGAGACTCGCTCAACGGCCCGGTGGGCAACATGCGCAAAGGAGGCAGACGCAAGGGAGGTGTATGGCCGAGCTCACGAGACTTGTAAAGCTGCAATAGCTTCCCTCACGGTGCCCCTACGTGCAGTACATACAGTCCTGTACTGCAGTTGCCGCGATTGCCAAGTCAGTACGTTGGTGAACAGGCTGGGAAGCATGCGCATAGATTCCATATCTCGTCCGTCCCATGGAGGAATCAGGGATAGAAAAGCATAAGCTCGACACGTCATTGCGTTTCAACAGCTTTTGTCCAAGCCTTTTGTCTACGGGCGAAATCCTCCATCTATCTAATTCTTCTGCAGGCTCCGGGTACCCATGAAATCAGCACACAAAAGAAAAAAAGAAACAAAAAAGGAACGCTAGACTGGCCCTCCGGAGGTGGAGAAAAACGGATGACACATGGAAGAAGCTCAGAATGTGAAACCATAAGCCTTTTTCCCTCTCGGCATTGAAAAACACACCGGATGTAGGCTTCTCCATGCACAACTTTGGGAGACGTGGTACGAAGAGTGAGTGCAAGAGGGCAGAGGCCAGTCTAGGCTGTGCAACAAGGCACAAAGTAGTCACATCATCAGAAATCCATGTGCACCTACAGAGAGAACCAATGGCATCCAGAGGGGCGGCATTTCCACGTTAGATTCATATCAACCCACCAAACAATAAACTTCTTATCGTAAAAATTTGTCAATACAAAACTGATCCTCGTGGTTATTGGTACACTCAATCTACTAGTACAAGAAATCTCCTGTTTTAAAGGATAAGGCTCAACGAGGGCAATTAGATGCCCGTGTGCTCATAGATCCTAGATTTCCAGAGAATTCGTACTATATTTACTATTGGTACACTCATTCTTCCAGTACAAACAATCTCCGGCTTTAAGGATGGAGCTCAACGCAGGCAATTAAATACCCAACACTAGGGTGGTTGCTCCTGGAGGTACTTGCCTGAGTGATATGCTCATACATCCTATATTTCCAGAAAGTGCGTACTGTACTAAATGCTAAGTTTCAAAACTTACGAGGGTAGTATCACCCTCGGGTAGAACAATGATAATTTGAGTTGACTCGAAACTAACCACAACTGTGATGTCAACTGTTGAGATGGGTCGTGGATAAATGGCGGTGTTTTTTCATCCTTTCTGCTGTCTCTTCGGCTTGTCATGGTTCGGCTAAGACCGAGACCTACCAAACCGTCTTGTCCACGAAAGATATGACGTTTACGGGCAAATACTTTTAAGAAAGGTACACCTTACTATACTATACTATACTATACTACACTACACTACACTACACTACACTATACTATATTTGTATAGAAGTGAAGGAGCAGGGAACTGTCTACTATACTAATGTCGTAGAAAACTCGCTGCCCTTTCACTGCTTAAATACAACAATGACTTACCTGCCTAGCACTGAAGGCCGAATCTCGACTAATACACAACCTTCGAGCTTAAATCCGGGGTGGGGGTATTAAGCTGGACTGGTATATTAGCTCAAAGCAGGACAGCATACGAATGAATGTCTGAAAAGCCACATCTAGTCGAGGGTATAGAATCATATTGCACCAAAAAATGATCTGCTGAATGACGTCTCTCAACCGTACAGGGCCAACACTGCATCGATGGATCGATTACAGATGGGACAGTGGTGTCGTATTCTCCTCATCTCCTCCGCACACCCCTTGCACATGCGATGGCCGCACGGGATAAGAGCCCCATCTTTGGGCATGTCAAAACATATGCAGCATGACTCCTCCATCGAAGCAGCCAAAAGAGCCACTTCCTGAAGAGACGAACCTGTAGAAGACTCATTATGTGAGAAAGTTTTGTACCTTGGAACAGAGCTAAGCCGATTGTCGTGATGATGATCTAACAATATTCCGATCCTGTCCAATGCCGCACCAGTACCTCCTTGGTCCGCTACGCTTGAGTGGAACATCGCCGATTGTTGGTGAAATGCTCCAGGCATTCCGGTCATTGTGAACGATTCAGCAGGTGTTCTGGATAGGGACTCCGAATACTCATTTGCATTCAAAGTATAGGAGGAGTATTGTGCAGGAGCAGCAGGTCCACGATGTACAGAAGGATGCGGAAGGGACGCAGCTGCAGCCTTCTGAGATTTCGCTGGTAAAAACGGTCGAGCATTGACGTTGAGTGCAGGTGTAGAAACCTGAGAGACTAGCACTGGCTGCACGACAGGCGAAGCGACTACCTTCACTCCAGGTTCGGAATCAGGTGATATCCCTACACCTTCAACGGTGGTTTGAGGAGTCGGTATATCAAGGAATGACTTACTGAAGAGAGTTGAAAAAGAAGAACGCGAAAAGTTGGACTGAAATATGCTGGCAAGCGAGGAGGCGAGTGAATCTGAGCAGTCAGAAGTCGAGCCAGACTGATCAGCTTGTCTGTCCGAACCTGGTCGCAACTCCTGGTGGAATATATCGTCCCTGTAGGGAGACGACCATTGTGAAGCGAACATGCGGGCCATGTGTGAACCACTGGAAGATTCATCGGCTGATTCCGGTGCAAGTTTCAGTCCCCATCTATGATCAGAGGAGTGATCCACCGAAACTCCTTTAGACACTGGAAATAGCTGAGGTGTGATTGGTTCGTGACCGGAAGGTGTGTACAATGCCCTCCCAGAAGAGCGTGGTGGCATTATGACGGACCTAGAGGGTTGCAGCAAAGGGGAAACTGTGGATGCATGCGGAGGAAGTGGAAGCAACGGCGGAACCTGATCAGATGATCTTGTGGCAGAAAGAGAAGTCAGCGGTTCCGCAGCAAACAGACTATGTTCTGAAAACTCATGGGGTCTTGCAAAATGCAAGGGAGCATCTTGCTCGGCTGCGGTGAGTTTGACCACACTTGACGAAGCCACCTCTTCATCGTTCACAAGCGCTTCGTTCGCCCCACTGCAACAAAGTCCCTTCTCTTTTATCTCCCTAGAATAAGGAAGAGATCCTGCCAACAAATCACTATTCTCGGTCTCCTTCCATCGCTTCCCTTTGTGAACATCCGTCCAAGTCACCGATTCAGCATTTTCGCTGCTGAGGGAAATGCTCTCATCACCTTCGACAAGCATCTCCTTGTCTTCCCTCTCGACAAAACTCCACTCAGATGCTCGCCCAATCGAATCTTCTTCTGCTTCTAGATGTTCTTCGGACCACATTGAGTGTACTTCGTCAAGATTGCTGCTCCGATCCGAAGCCGCTTGTGTATCCATACTTTCAAGCATCCTCTCCTTAGCCTCTACCTCAATCAGGAGAGCCTTGGCAGTATCCAACTGACTCTTAAATACTACGCTGAACCTTGGGACTTTCTCAATTTCTGAAATCGCCTCCTGAAGCCGCCTGGCATCTGCTTCTTCGATGGCGGCAGAGAGATTTTCCTGCAACGCTGCTGCCTTCTGCATTCGCTTCAACCGTTTGGCAAGGGCTCCTTTCACCTTTTTCACTAAAGTCTCATCAGCTTGACTGCTTGATGAATCACAACAGTTCAAAGCTGACTGCAAATTATGGACATCTCCTGATGACATTGCCTGACGAAGCATAACATTCAACTTCTCCCTTGCTTCACTGTCACCAACATCTCCTTCTTTCACAGAAGGTAGTTCGATACTCGATTTATGCGGGGTGCAAGCAATCTCCTTATTTCTCTCCGGTGCGCAGTCATTATTGTGTTCGTCCTCTCTTGTAACCGCATTAGCTTCACTTTCACTCCTCTCCTCTGATAAATGGCCCCATTTACTGTGCATCTCGTCACCTCTTCCTTCCACCATTAGAGAATCATCTTGTGAAAGAAGGCACGAATCACGAGATGAAGGCACGAAGAGAACGGAAGGCTTCGCCTTCGGTCCTCTTCCTGCCTTCTTCTCTTTGGCCTTTCGCTTAATCTCTACCCTGCTTGTTTCTGCTGATGCAACAAGGACAACCTCTGCCCCACAGTTGGCTTCCTCCTTCGATGAGCTAATCTCCGTCTTCACGACGGATGATGAGCCACAATGACGGACATCGGCCTCATCCTCGACATCCCCGGGGACAAGTCCGCCATTAGTTGCACAGCTTGATGACGATTCCTGAACCTCCACCACAGGCCGCTGTTCAATTATAGTCATATCATGAGAAAGTTTTCTTTCCTCATAAGCAATCTCATTTTGGTCAGATAACTTCGTCTTTCGTGACCCTTGCTTATTCTTCGCCTTAGCTTTTTCCCGTGCTTTGCGTTTGCCTTGCTGATGGGCATACTCTCTCAGAAACTGGACGGCACCCATTTTACCAGCTCTTTCAGCCCTCATAAGGGCAGTTTGACCTTGAGAATCTGCCATGAGTAAATCAACACCCTTGTTGGCAAGAGTCTCTAAACAAATGACGTCCCCTGCTTCAGCTGCATGATGAGGTAAAAATCGACCCTGGTCTCTGCTCCCAATCCTGCAAATTACATATCCGCCTTTAGTTCCATCGTTGATCATAAGAGTCCCATACGTGACAGGCTGTACACATTAGTATCTTCACGTCAAAGCGTGTCAAAGAGGACAAAGCAGAATTGTAGAAGGACCAAACGTTGTTTTGACGAATAGGAGCTCGTATCCAGAAAAGCGGACATCAGACTTCAGTTCTTGAGTCCTCCTCAGAACCTTGACTCAATCCAGAGAATGAGTCTCCAATAGTTCAAATCTGGGGTGAAGTCAATAGAGAAATGGAATATACTACCACTAAAGCGCCTGGTTTGGGATAGCGAGTATGAACACCCATGTAAGTTAGAACCATCACTTTAGACGGACTTGAACAGGCCAGAGTTGGACCGGGCATGAAAACTTTTACCTGAACACTCCCAATCTTGCTAGCGCCAATCTTGCTGGAGTACACACTTCTGCATGTGCCTTCTCCGCTCTCGCACTCTGGGGTTTGAATCTGGTCATACCTCCAAATCTTAAAAGTGCAACAGCAAGTGCCTGGCAAACGATAGGCCCGTAACATTAAAAACAAATACTCGAACTGAGGACAAGGCGTAAGATAAGAGAGTAAAACAGTTTGACAAATCATTTTGACACCATTAGAACATTCAGAAATGGGGAGGTAGAAGAGTCGATTATGCACCTGTATTACATTCAAAGTAAAATGGGAGGTCGACGCAACGCTATCCTTCACAAGGCCCGCTAGTGCCCATGATGCTGCACACTGAAGACGGGCCTCTAGATACTCTGTAAAACCTCGGCTTTCATCCGGCTCAGTAAAAGATATTTCATCTCTAAACACGCCGTTGATGTTGCCCGAGCTTGCCTTGAGACTTTCGTCGAGGTCACCGGTATCTATTCTAGCATCTAAGCCTACCTCCACACCATCGCACATTAATCCAAAACTTGTGACAATAGATTCACGGTTTTGTTTGTGCAAAAACTCCATGGCAGCGAGAACAGCCTCCACTGCCCCGCTCTCCATGAAATCATGGCGCCACTTTGAATCATGTGCTGTCATATACCCAATCACAAGGCATACATGAACTTGCATCTCAACAGCGTTTGGACTACATGGGGCATCTCTACTTAGTCTTTTGAAGAGTTCCACGGCAAAAGCAGGACCACCACATCCGGGAGAAGCAATCAAACCGGTTCTGAAAAGACCCAACTGAGATGCCCCATCCATTAGAAGCCTCTCTAAATGAGGACTCCATGAACCTTCAGGCCGTTGTTCTCCCTTGCTATCGTCCTGGCATCCTGATTCGCTAGCAATCTGACCAGATGGAAAGCCAATGCCTTCCTTGTAGATGTGCGTCAACCCCACTAAAGTGGCCCCACTAGTTGAGCTGCCCTTTTTGCGGCGACTCCACTTCACACCAACAGGAGCAGTCCTATATATAGCTGCATTCCAAAGTGTGTCAAAATCAGGTTGTAATCGGGCGTCCAACCCAAGTGCGTGCATACCATTAACTTGTATCTGGCTGTCTTCGTCGTAACGATCCAGAGCAGCGAGGATGACATCCGCTCCGCCGGCTGCAGCAATGGCAACTTGAGCACGTATACTGTAACCACAAACTGTTGTCAAAACACAACAACCCTGTTGGATTACTTTTCTTCTCTGGTGAGCGGTACCACCCGAAGTCAAGGCTTTTTGCATAGCTCCTATAACGGCTTCGGCTCCATTCTCGCCAGGACCAAACACGTCTTCTATTTCTTGCACCGTAGCTGCAAACACGCAAGCACTATACAGAGCTTGAAGTGCAAGACTGGTCACGTCTGGTCTATTTAGATGTGTCCAGTGTATCACTAAATCTACGATTTGTGATACACCAACTTCTCCAATACCCCTGCATGATCAAGAATATGCAATACTAAATCAACTTACTTCGGACCCACTCGAGCGACACAAACACTGAGCTTTGTAATCTGACAACATATGTGATCGACTTTCAGTAGTATGCTCGATCAACGACGACACACTAGCAGAGACAATTGTTCCAGGAGTCAAGCAATGAAATATGACTTCTAGCAATCATGTTAAATAAACCAGTATGTGACAAAGTAGCGGAACCTTACAAAGAACCTAAACATTTCAGTAAAAGTATTGCATGTCTGAGAATAGTAAACTTGTCTAGAAGAAAACCAAACAGAAAAGAGTACGGTACCAGATTCTTGACTTGAATTCTTCTCTGTCCGCCTCAATTCCAGGCCTGAACAGGTGCACATTCTCCCAGGTGAGATATAGACTGACAAGGGCGTGGCAAGCCCAAATGACGGTTTCAGCATCTTCGAGCTTTTCAAGGATCTTCCTCACTGCCATGATGGATTTCTTGACTGCCTTAGAAAAACCTGCGCGCTCCGCAATCCTTCCCATTGATTCAGTAGCCTCCTGCCATGCTTTGATATCCTTCACAGCTTGCTGCTGCGCAACTGTATCCAATGCGGACCAGTCGGTGGGAACATTGCTCCTTTCACTGACGTCAGCCTTTGCGCTGGTACGTGTATCTTTTTCAAAGCCTGAATGTTTTTTCCCTTTCAACGACAGCTTCTCTTTTTCCTTGTATTGTTGTACAACAGCATCCATGTAGGCTTTGACGTCTGCTGAGCAATGACTCAAATTCGACCCGCTCATTGCCATCGTGTGCGTCCATATTGTTAACGCAGTCAGTGATACATTCCCTTCCTCATCGTCGTCACTGTGTTCGACCTCAGCGTCATCCTCGATATCCTTCTTCCTGAGACGGGCGTTCCATTCTGATGGCTGCTCCACAATTCCGAGTTGATGCATATGCTTCCGGTCCTTGTAAATCTCCAAAAAGTCCGTGCCTCTTGGAACCCCCTTTCCTAGAGCAACTTCTGAGTTCCGCGTAAGGTGACCAAATACATCTCCTATGGCGCCGAGGGCGGCACACCAGCTTTGTCTTACTGATGCAAAAGAGTGGTTGACAGAAACAGTCGGTGATCTGGAAGCTAAGGACTTTGTCGTGGTCGTTTTCAGATTCGACTTTGCTGCCTGAGGGCCAGAAGCTGATTTCGTAGCAGGCTGAGCAGAACTTCCGGTTGTACTGGAGCACGACAATTTCATTGTTTTTGAAATCATCTTCATTGCTTTGGTTGCGTTGGATAAGATCAAGCTGGCAAAATCACAGGGAGGAGTGACCAAAGGAGAGGGCTGAGATAAAGACGAGGTCGATTGGGGCATAGTATTGGAGAGGGAACGGCCCCGACCAAAGTCGTACTCAACAGGTGAGGGAGAGCCTAGGAAATGATGACCATTTGAAAAGAGCTTAAACTCAGACTTATCCTGGATTGATTCCATTGTCTTCAAGCTTGGAGAGCAAGGAGGCCCTCTTGAAAGACTTGCGGATGAAGCAGGACTGGAGAAGGATACCGCCTTATTCGAGGACTTCTGGGCTGAAAACAAGGGGGATGCGGTGACAACTAAAGATTGATCTTTTGTTGCTCCAGAAGATTCACCAAAAGAAAGAGTTGGTGTACATCCTATAGGCACCGAGGATCTGGTCCCACTCTTATTACTCCCTAGAAGAGGCTGACTTTGTGCGGTCATCGCTGTGAACGACTTTTCAGAGGGAAAATAAAGTTCTTCATTCGAAGTCGTCCGTCCATCCGAGGTACCTGGAACTGCAGTATAAAATCCATTCTGCAACACAACTACAGAGGAGCTCAACAAATTCTCCCCGGCAGCTTTGCCTTCACTCCTGTCTAAATTATTTGACCCGTCAGTCGCCTGACCAAGATTGGATATCGGAGATGAAAAGCGCCAAGAATCAGGCCTCCCAGACCAAGCCGACTTCCCAGCAGTGGAGAATTTCACTGAGGCAGACTTTGAGGTTCCAAAAGGAGAAGGATTCTTCGGGTTCAAAGGAGCTGACGGAGCAAAAGACGTCGGGAATGAAGAACTGGAGGCTTGAGCAGATGGTTTTGGTATTGGCTCCGTGTTTCCAAAACAAGAGGGTGTCCGGAATATGGTGGAAAGAGGTGGGAAAACTGAAGCACTATTTGGAGGTGAAAGCGCGGCCGACAGGCTAGCTTCAAGAGCCATGGAGACCGGTGCGAGACGCTTGGCATAGTGCACATAGGCTAGAAAAGCCTGCTGCAGTACAGCACAACCCCAGACTTGCACAGTCTCTACCTTCGGAAATTCGCGCATGGCCGTCATGGTGACTTCAAAAACTGCATCCATCCTCTCTACATCATTTACTACATCTTTACCAGTGACGGAGTTAGGAAAGCTGGAGCTGGAGCTGAAACTTGGCCCATCACTACCAACTCCACTGTACGATGCTTGTGCTCCTCCTTCTGACGGCGCCCTCCCATGTAAGTCACTGGCAGATCTGCTCGGCGCCAGTCCATACTCGGAGGGTTTGCTGTTGCTCAACGGCATTCCGGGCATTGGAGAAACTCCAGATGTTGCCTGAAAGTTTTCACCAGAACCTTTTAGAATGCACCCTAAAGCAAACGTTCCGTTGCTTTGCAATGATTTGGATTTGTTGAAAGCTTTCATCGCGGTAACAACGGCCCAAAGAGCTGCCCACCAGTCATCCGGTGAAGTAGGCGGCCCATCCTTTCTGTCTCTCCTCTTCCCAGCTCCAGTGCTTTGCTTTGGATGGCCATCTGAAGCACTCCTTTCGGTCGAGCTAACAACCTGGTCACCTCCGGGTGAACATGAAGGTCTTTGGACCTCTGAAGCCACTCCACATATCAATGGTCCTACATCATGACCATTTTCAGCCAAAGTTCTGGCCATGGTCCCCAAGACATTGCAACCTTCCTGCTGCATCAACTCATTTATTCTGCAGACAGACATTGCACCCACAACTGCTGCAACAGCACCATATCGCACCATATTCGTCACGCTCCTTACACCAGCACTGTGAACTAATGTCCACAAAGTACTGCACCCATGCCATTGAATCCTCACATCTTCAGGAAACGCTGCCATAGCTGCAATGAGGGCACGCGCTCCTGTCTCCCGATCTGCATCCTTGGCTGCTCTGAGAGGTCGCTTGCCAGAGCCCCATTCTGGAACACCCAAGCCTGTACGGGTGCAAAGTAACTGCAGAGTGCCACAACCTGCCCTCTGAAAAATAAAAAATAACGACTGAGATATCAGGTCACAGGGGATACCAACAGATCATTGGAGCAGGAAAATATGCCAGGATCAAGAGCAAGAACGTACCACAAGAAGGTTTATGGACCAGAAGACAGATAGGCCCGTAAGTTCTTATCTGTCTTCTTGCCATATCTGTCTTCTATACGAGTCCTACCGCTAAATTGAAGACAAACTTTAGGATGTGATGGCATTCCGGGCGTTTCTCCAATTCCCGAAATGCCCTCACATCTGGGGCATAAGACATCGCCCCCACAACTGCAAAAACGAGAGGCAACACGTTCAAATAATGCAGACCTTGATACGTATCAAGTTCTACCTTCTTTGGACGTTTTGTCTCTCGTTTTGCGTAAATCCCTTGCTCAATAAAACTCTCGCTGTATAAGTTGAACTATATAGAACTGTAACGCCAGCGTACCTGAACCATAAGATTTGAGCGATGATGGTCCATGGAGACAATTATTGCGGCCCACGCAGCGTGACCAGTCGTAGAGCTCACAGCTCTTGGTAGTGATACCACGGCGATACAGCTTTCGGCTTGCATCTCGGCGTCACTGACAAATTCGCGCATAGCTGCTATGATGAAAGCGAAGGCATCATCGCAGACATATTTCGAATTCGTACAAGAGAGATGAGCTGACAATGCTCGCAGAGCTATTTGCAAAAACGTGTTAACAAGTTAAAACTTTGGCACCCGTGAGAAAAAAGACAGTAGCTGATAGAGAAAAACTTTCTGACTACACAGCAGAGAGGAAGGCAATAATAAGCAAAAATTCCACTTTGCTGAACGACTCAATTCATGCGTAATCCTTCTCTAGAGAAACCCAAAAGATTAGTGTTTACCAGAGTGTGTCGAGTGAGCCTCAATGTCACACGATTGCATGGCATTCAGGACAGCCTTCACCGCCTTCTCTGCAAGCATTGGAACAGTGGCAGCATAGGCCACGGCCGCCAGAGCAGATATAGAGCTTGCACTGGATTCGGATGCAAGCCCGTTGCATGTGGAAGGCGCAGTTCCGTTTGACTTTCCGTTGCCAGCACTCAAAGCGGCCGCGGCGTAGCTGGCTGTTGCCAATTTCGGTAGAAGCTTCGATGACTTGCTCTCTTTTTCTTTGACGACCGATTGATCGTCCATAAACGACCGACTGGACTGTTGCTGCATTGCAACTCCAGATGATCCGTCATATTTCGCTCCTTTGCCGGAGCTGACCTTCAGCAGCTCTTTACTGGTCACATAAGGAGCCTTGCTACTGGCAGGTAAATTCAACGAACTCTCGCTTGAATTCCGATCGTTGCTGCTCGGAGGTAAAATACTACCCAAACAGCCCAAGCACCAGCTGAGAAGAGCCACGTTGTCTTTCAAAACCTGCAGAAGATCCACGAATGCCTCCGTGAGCGCAACATACATTTCAGCCGAGAACGTTTTGCCTCTCTTCGCCGCAGCGACTCCTGTAACAGCAGCCACCTTCCCTGCAGCAGGGGCGCCCTTCCCTCGAAAGGCGGTCGTAGCGAGCTTGTCCAAAGCATTGCAGCCTTCTGCCACAACATCAGGCATCCCAGCTCCCTTAGCAAGCGAATAAACGCTGGGTGTTTCCCTCTTCTTCTCGTCGCTGCCCGCATGCTCTGATCGACTAACCTTCTTCTCAAGCATGGACTCTTTCGAGCACTTGCTAGTTATCCTTTTGTCTCCTATTGAGACCACCTGAGAAATTCCTGCTCCATTGAGAAGCTCCGCTCCCTGTAATTGTGAGCCAGCTCCTCTGTCTCCAGGATCCACGGTACCACGTCCTGCACCACCAGCCTGACTTCTGGTCACGGCACTGGAATCTGATGATCCAGACTCCAAAAATGCATTTCCCGCCGCTGTTACCACCTCCAACACCTCCCCTTCGATGCTCTGATCTGAAGGTCCTGCCACCTCTTCCGCAGAGGAGTCAATAGGAACCTCTATTAATCCAATCTCTGAATTTGCCTGCGCAATAACCGCCTGCAGTCCTACGGCTGACTGATCTACCTGCAGCTTCTTGTTCGGAGGCCTGGACAGTGCTCTAGAGTCACAGACGCAATTCTTTGTATTTTCTGAAGAAGGGCTGGAATTAGGCATTGAATCCGTGCCGGAAGTGTGGCATGTTTGGTCGGCCACACTTTCTTGGTCATCAACACTTCTGGCCTGAGCCCCTGCAACAGGATCCACCGTTCCATCCGAGCTTGTGGCCTCCTCGGGAACCAACTGGTCAGAGTTCCCGGGGGCAATACATTCTGGACAAAACGAATTCGCTTGATCCGGTGCGTGGTGCTCGGATGCATTTCTGCTGCTGCTGACATCTTCCGGTACGAGAGTAATTCCAGACCATCCAGCTACGACAACTCCTAGCCCTGAATCATCCAACTGGGAGGACGGTTGTCCACAATCAGAAATCTCTGTTCTGTCCTTAACCTTGAGGGGTTCCCTCGTGTATCTTCTCGATCTCACTATCCGCGTGTATCGACCTCTAATTCTCACTACTCTAGCTGCAATATTCTTAAGCGCGTCCTCGGGGGATTTGCCTTCCAATCCGACATTATCCTGCCCAAGGGTCCTGGATGCCGCCTCTACAACGTTTCTAAACACATCTGCTCCACCATCCGACTGCCCTGAGAATTCACCAGCAGATCTGGTCGAGAACTCTGCCCTCACACTATCCCTAATTTCATCCGAAAAACCTTCTTTGACATCGTCTTCCTCCTCAAGTTCGCCGGAAGTCCTCTGACGCTTTCGCCTTGATTCATTGGGAGCAACGATGCTGGAAGGAGAAATCTCTACGTGTGATGATAAGGCCAAACTCTTCCCGTCCGAGTGGTGGTCTGCTGACTGGAAGGAATGGCAACTCTCAGATTGTATACATCCATCATCAGAATGGGTGCTTTCCGATCCCCCTGATCTTCCGGGCGGATTGGAAGGGTCAGCCTCTGATTGCTTCGCGATCAAAGAAGATTTACTTGAACCTGCCCGTCCGCCCTTCATTGAACCCTTGGCAGGCTTCTGCAGTCCATGCCAACGAAATTGTCTCACCGTGGACGCAATCAGACGGGCTCCATTGGCTGACACGATCAGTGCTACAGCTGATGGGGAGTTGACCGCCTCTCCCAACTCTTGCAGGAGACGCTCTGCAAAATCGGCATCTCCGCTTTTAATTGCTTCCTGCAGACCCTTGACGTACTCGTACAGAGCATCATGATGGGCACTCGAGTTCGGTGAATAAGAAGACCCGGCAACCGACGGGGTTTGCTGAGTTTCTGAGACAGATAGGGGGGCCAGGGATTGTGGAGGAGTGGAAGGGACAGTGCAGGGCTTGGAAGGAATGGATGAGGAGGGATCAGGCGACGCCGTCGAAGAGAACCGCAATATTTGGGATGAAGATGCCGAGAGGAATGGACTGCTCGGGGGGATCAGCGATGGAAGAGACGAAGATGTGTACGCAAACGATTCTGTACTGAAAGATGCGGAATGTGACTCACAAGCCGCAGATGAGGACGAACCAGGGACTGCGGCAGAAAGAGAAAGGGCTGAGGACCCTGGAGGAAGGGGGAGGGAGAATAGAGGAGAAGTCGAGGAGAAAGGTTGAACAGACGATGACAGAGCACCAACTTCTGCGCCATGTTGAGGAGGAACGGGTTTGACTGAGCTGTGAGTGTGGCTACGCCTTCTTCGACTGAACGATTTACTGGAGGGCTTAAGAGAAGCTGAACGCTTCGGCATGACTCTGCTTGTGAAATTCACGCATTGGCCTTCCCCAAGGCCTCTCGGAAACGCGTCAACAACATGGCCGAACTCTGAACAAAAAGATGAGTCGAACCAAGGACCGATTTCACCGCAATTCGACCAGCTCTGCTCGCCGAACGAAGCCACGACAACAAAAACAACAACTTCCTAACAGATCACAATCACTGGATGCGAATCGCCGAGATGGAGGGTAAAAAAAAATCCAATCTCGGAGATTCAACGAGTCACTATCTCTGGCACCACGATCACCTCCCCTGGCCGACCTCCCAGCACATCCACACCACACCCCACCCTTCTCCTCCCCTTCCACGACCGGATCTCAACCCAATCCGCCGGAATGCCTTGCGGCACGCCACTCAATTCCTCCGAATCCTTCCGTCCTACACCCCCTTCCGACCACGCCCTGATCCACACCTGCTCTCGCCCTCTGCTGCTCCCTCCCTCCCTCCCTCCCTCCCTCCCTCCCTCCCTAATCCCTGCCTGCCTGCGTCCTCTGCTGCTGCTGCTGCCTCCCTCCCTCGCTCCCTCTCTCTGTTCACGCCACGCGCAAAATGGCGACAAGCATTCAGTACTCCGCGAAGGAGGTTCAAAACTGACCCGATGCACACCGAGAGCACATCGAGAAACAGAGGAAAAAAAATTTGCCCAGCCCGCGTCCGCGAGCGCGCACTCCCCGATCGGCCTGCGCAATCGAGGCTTGAGTTGAGCGGATTAATGCAGACAGACAGACAGACAGACAGAGCAGATCGAGGGATGAAGCGAAGCACGGCAGAGGCCTGGCGGGGGAGATTATGTTGCTCGGCTCGCTCGCTCGCAGCGCTACGAGAGGCCCTCGAGGACCATGCTCTCCAAAGCACCAGCGCCAGCTCCATCAAAGCTCGGGCCGAGCCCTCGACCCCTGCCCCTCCCTCACCCAGCCCGGCCTGGCCCGGCCCGGCCTTGCCCCGCCCTGCCCTGCCCTGCACGCCAGCCAGCACGCCAGCAGCAGCAGCGCGGAGCAAGAGAGACAGAGCGACAGGGAGGGGGCGGAGGTGCCGGCGCCTGGCGTCCAGAGCATTGCGCTCCACGAGCGGCAGCTTCTTTTTGCTGGAACCGGTGACCTGCGCTCCTCTCCCTCTCCCTCCCCTTCCCCTGTCCCTGTCCCTGTCCCGGCCCGGGACGGGACGCCTCAAGCGCAGGCGTCCCTTGCAAGTACAGTCCCTTTCGGGACGGGACGCCTCAAGCGCAGGCGTCCCTTGCAAGTACAGTCCCTTTCGCGTCTTTTTCCTTCGGAGCCTCCTCCCGTCGCCCTATACAGAGCCCGCTTTGACCACGTCACGAACGAACGCCGGGGAGATATTAATTTTTATTCTAAATTATTCGCGAGGGGACAGGTTTTATGCCCTGGAGCATGTTTTTTTGCAAGGCTCGAGTTGTCTGAGACGGAATTATTGAATTCTCACCGCCGCTCTGTGTATCTGAGGGTCTCGTGGCATTGATTCCAGACATTATTCGTACATTTTCGCCTCGTGCGAATTTGTCTCAGAGCGTGGAAATTATTCGCATTCGCCGAGGTCGTTCTTTTCACGAGCCTCGCGTCGATGGCGAGTTCGGATTCTTATTGTTCTCCGATGCTTCGTCCCGTCGGGAGGGCGCCGTCATGCCGGAGCTCGACCGGTTACCGGATGCGCTCAGGAGGGCTGTTCGTTGTGGCCCTCGGGTTTGACTTATTAAGGGCAGTCACTCCCTCGCAATCATGTTCCTCTTAAATGACCTTCGTCCACACTTTTGGGCGAATCGTAGCCGTCAGAAGAGGATATCAAGCGGCTCTGCTTCCTATTCTTGCTAACTTGGTACGTTGTACGGCGTCTCGATTGTCCGCTTCTGGTCTACTGACGTGGCTCTCCCAGAATTAACCACGTCGATGTCAAGGATGTCCGACTGAGACCTTTGGAGCCAGATGCAAACGCGCGAAGTTGTTCGCTTTGTGGACAAATTCGTGATTCGTGCAGCATTGGAACCGACCCAACATCGCAAATCTCTGTTGGCTGTCGCAATTTTGATTTCCGCAATTCTTTCCTATAAGCCCTTACGAATATCGACGACGGATTATTCTCTGAGGGCCGAATGTAGCATCAAGCATTGTTTATTCGCTCTTCGTTATGTGTTTATGATCAGCTCATTCTGGCTACGTGGATTAAGCTCCACATGTATGATCTATTACTTTGGCTGGTAAGGAATACGGTGACGATGTCGTTATCGAAATATTCTTTCTGAAATGGTTTTCTACTGAAATGTTTTCATCAAGCTTGGATGGTCTGTACTCAACCCAGATATTCTGCACATATGTGTCCGGTTCCTGTCCAGCGACACCAAACGTGGTGTGACGTGCTTGTCCCTTTTCTATTGTGGTTACTCTCATTGTCAAATCATCTACTATTTACTTAGTATTGTTTTTATCAGTTGGATCACTTGATAATTTCTCCGTAATTTCTATTTCCCATCCTTGTCCACTTGTACAACTAGATTTCCCAAACCATGCGGTCATCCAGTCTTTCGCTGCAATAGTGCAAAGATTTGTCTCCATTTAAGGTAGGGAGAGCACTTCTTTACTAGATTATGCTTGCATATAATGCTTGTGAAGCATGAAAAATTAAAAGAATCCATAAATGAATTGCAAGTTGAAGTGTCCAAATTGAATTTTTGAAGAACTCGATACCGAGTTCCTAAATTACTTTGACAAGATGGTTGTAGACTAAAATTTTAGAATGTTATTCTAGTAGGGAATTACGATTTGTTTCATTTTACCCAAACATAATGAGATGACGTTACTCTTTTAGGGATTTTACGTTATAATTTTGGTATACTTTAACCTAGTATTGCTTGTGAACCATGTACATATTTTTCTTTATTTCTTTTCACTTACACTCATATCATGCTTTCTATATCTTTGATGACAACGTCCGATTTTTCATTGTGTAATATGAGCTTTGGTGCGAGAAAAAATATTCATTCCAAGTTAGTGTAGAGTTCTATGTTTACTGTCAGTAAGACAAATTTGGACTAGCTGAACTCTCTACACTTTTTTAACTCTTGGCAATTTGTGACTGCAGAAAAGCTAGTCCTTTAACATATGTGTGAGTGTATTGGATAGATGAAATATATTTTATGTATTGTCGTTTCTTTTGATAAATACAGATAGTGTATATATCTTTTCATGCGATTTATATCTCTTATCCCCCGATTGGACAAACATAATACATACTGTTCATCTCTCTATTTTGTAATCAAAGAGATATTTTACCTTGGAAGATGTGATCTACCATCTTTATACTCTTTTTTCGTCACTTAGACAAGCATTTGATTTTAAATCAAGTTAAGACAATACACTTTTTAGTCTAGATTACAATTCTATAAAGCTCTACATTTTATCTTAGTGTATTCTGCCATTACATGTACTAACAGCTCCTATTTGCTCTCTTGGTTTAAAAAAAATAGAGGATTATTAATCTTGTTTTTAGTATGATTGAGGCTAGCAACCATGCACAAATTATCACAGTGAGGTTTTTCTTGGCTTAAGTCATCACTAGAAGCTTTCATTACTCTTCAGGAGTGTAGTATCTTCTAGATGCCTCATGTGTTCCTATAGCATTTGGCGTGCCGAAGACGAATGTCTTCGGTGGTTGATATGGTAGAGAAGTATCTCTCACATGCAAGAGTGCTGGCCTTTTTCATTAAGATCAGTGCATATATGATGATTATGACTTTTATATTGACAGGTTAAAAAAATTATAAGAAATCACTTTCATAAGGGTATGTGAATCGAGTTAAACGTCGGTTGTCAAGATATCCAAACATGTATAAAGATGTAGCTAGTTTTTTAATATGGACCGCAGGCCAAAGTACACATAGTACTATATCAGTAAATTTGCTAAAAATTCTATCATACTAGAAGGTAGAGATTTTTTCGGCATTTTTCTGTAATTTTTTCAGTATAATATTTTAATCGAAGTGTTTGCGTTGAAATATACATAGAAATATTAATCATATCAACATTTTTGTTGCATTAGTACATACTTCCCGTTGCCAGATATTGGGACTAGCCCCATGCTACCGCTGTAATTAAATCCATGAAATACTTGATGCCCTCCGGGCTTTTGCTTTTGGTACGGTGTCATATACAAACACTCATTCAATCTGAAGTACAAGAAGGACACTTATTTTCCTCCCATCCCCAGCCCCATGTGTGGCCCTTGTTCCTCTCTTTAAATGATTTGTACTCACTCGAAGAGTTCCGAGGAAAGCAGTTTCCCTTTCTAAAAAATCATTTTCTGTTAATCTTTCACCCGCAAGAATCGGTGCTACAACTCCAGTATCTCGTCGTTCGCTATTATTTTGTAAGTTTCAAGCCAATCAACGCCTTCACCGAGTGCGACTTTTACCTTTTGATTGACTGTCACGAGAGGAATTCGAGAGTGAAGGACAAATATTTATTTAAACGCCGTGTTCGCTTTCCATGAACTGTCCCCTCCGGGCTCAGTGAAGACAACATTTCCTTGTCACGAGTTCTGGATCAAATAATGGCTGGACTCGGAGTCCAACACATATCCTAACGAACCGAGAGGCTTCCCGTGCAGTCGGACGGAGTCTCGTCCACGGACGGAAACCGGATAAGAGAGGGCGCCCACTACTTCTTCCGTCCATCCGGCGCTCCGTGTACGAGGCGCGGATAAAATTGGGACGTAAGGCTCAGCTAAAAGAAGAGCGGGGCGAGGCTCTGAATCCGTTTAAGGATAGAGAGAACGCTGCAGCTTCAGAGCACGGGAGCGCGAGCGAGCAATTTCAGTGTGATCGTGAATCTCTGGGAATCAGCGTCGTGGCCATGGCGTCCGTATGCTCTCTGACCACGAGAGTGCAGGTCCCGTCCCAGCTTAGCTCGAGCTCGAGCGAGGTCACCGGAGCCGGAGCTCAGTCGTTGAGCACCTCCCGTGTCACATGCGCACCATCGAATTCCTCTCTGCTCGTGACTCCTCTTGCAAGTAAGTAGCGCCAAGGATTCGTCACTGCTGAATCTGTTCTTCGTTGGTGGGACTTTGTATGTTTCAAGTTCCGTCTCTCGGATTATCCAATGTGTGTAAATTTTTGAGATGGTCGTTGTGGTTGTCTATGTCCCGGGTGATGATGGGAGACTGGCGTTCGCGCATTCGGTAGAGATTCTGAGGGTTTTGTCGATGTGAGGGATGTTGATTAGCGCCGGTGGGTGTACAGGTAGGAAATGTGACCTCACAGGGAAGAAGGCAAACAATGGGTACAATGTATCCTTCTCAAACCACAGGACGAAGAAGCTACAAGGAGCCAACTTGCAGTACAAGCGACTCTGGTGGGAGGAAGCCAACCGGTTTGTGAAGTTGAGGTTGTCAACCAAGGCACTGAAGACCGTCGAGAAGAAGGGGTTGAGCACAATGGCCAAAGAGGCCGGCATCGACCTCCTCGATTTTGCCATCTAAATTTTTAAAATTTCCCCCGGTGTACACCATGCTTCTAGTGGGATATTCAGCCGTCGAAATACAAATTGAAAATATTTTATTAGGTCTGTTTCAGTAAAATAAAACTCAAAAAGTTCATCTCATCTCCAAAGGAATTGGCTTGGTGGACTGTGCTATGGTGGCTATCTGTCGGTTCTCCTTCTCTCCATCTTCTTTTCATGGTCGTGTTCATGTTCTGTGTGGTGACTAGTTCATTTTGTCAAATTCGCCGCGTATTGGCTTCTTTATGAGCATCTCTGGGCAATGAGAAGAAACGTCGTGGGGAGGAAACTTTGCCTGTGGTTTGTAGCTTCACTCGGAGGAAGATTTCCACGATTTCTTTCAGCGATGTTTCCTTCAAAGAGGTCTGCTCTGATGTGAATTTGGTTTATTCCTCTGTTTCTTTAGTTACAGAACATCTCGACCGACGTGTGAAGGATGTGGCGAGTTTCGTGATGTCTTATTGGACCTGTGCTCTCATACATAGTAATCCTCCACACCGTGCCAGCAAGTTCAATTTTGGTCATCGCGCTGTTTGTTTGATCCTTTAACACAGGAAGTGCTGTTTGTCTTACTGTTGTGGTACATAAGTGACTTCACAGTTTTTCCAGAACCGGAGTGACGACCACTGGAATTTGAAGACTTGAAGTTGTCGTAATGCGTTTCTGTTTTAGTTTCAAAGCGATATGGCTGTTATCCTGTCACCCCTTGTCTTCCGTCTGGTGGTTGCAGAAAGATGAACGAGTCTCATTTTATCATGGCCTCAAAAAGTGCTTGGTTTCTGGTCATGACGATCTGGTCAGTTCTGACGTTTGATTAGAGTTCTCGTTTTGGATTCCCAATCCCTTGAAACTTCCTTCAGTAATTGTGGGACTTTATAGGAGCCCGTCAGCTTCTCCATCCACCCACGGCCTGAAGAACCTCCATTTCGTCAACCCCGAAGCAGTTCCCCTTGTACATGCTTCACCCGGTCAGGACCGTCAAGGGATTTGGTACGAGTTTGTGCTCGAACTGACGGAAAATTTTTTGCACTTAACCTCGGCCTGTTTAAGAATCACAAGGTGAAAGACGTATGAGGCATGCCGAAGTCACAAGCTCTTTGTGAGTTTTACTTTCGAAAACAAATCTGGTACTGTTTCGGAACCTGGACCCTTTGAGATGTAACAGTGAAACAGCCTGCTATCAGTTCCATAGACCGCTACAAAGTGGTTAATCCTGGAGAACGAAGTAGCAAATATTTTGTCAACATCATCACCGAAATTCTACTCTTGTGTTTGGTACAGTAGTCAGAGTCTTCCCTTCTGTCACTACAGACAAAACAAGGCACAGGATAAGAAAGTTGTTCCCTCTTGGACTCGGATGGAATCAGAGAAGAAACTGTGGAGCTCGTACTGCGGAGGGAAACCTCGCGAAGGCGCGAAAAGAATCAGTTCCCTTCTGCTGAAAAGGACGAGTAAAGCACATTCTTCCTCTTAATCCAAAAGAAGACACCATCGAAAATCTCGCTCTGGGCTACTTGCCAGGGAATATGTGGGAAGGTAGGGTGGTATGTCGACATTGTGTTGGGTTGTGAACTCGAGAAGAGAGTTCTTTTCTCTTGCTGAGGTTTTGTTAGCTGCCGTGGACGAAAATGGCCGTAAATGATTGAACTTCATCTTAAGGTAAGGTAGGAAGCCCGTAACGTATGAGTTTTTTCATCGTAAGTGGGCTTGCGTTCAGCGTTTTGAGTATCTCTTGGAACCTGCAATCACCATATCAATGCGCACCTGATATGTGCAGTAATGTGCACATATCAGGTTATTTCGATGACACTTCTCCTGGTGTAGACAACCATAAAACGTATAAAGATTCATGCTCGGCAGTCATCAGTGTCCAGGAAATCATTTGTACATGTGCGTGTAACATCGATCTGGTAGCTTTCGTTTGATAATGTGGTGGCAGACAAGAGGTTCTTTTCACCTTCTTTCAATTCACCGCAGTACCCATCTGTACGCAAGACGTAATCATGCCTGTGATAACGAACGAAGTGAGATGTGAAGATAACTTGTACATACTTTCATAAGGTAATGTTAACTACGTTCTCTATTCACATTCAACGTGCATGGTCGCCATTGACGAACTGTACGGGTAGCATAATTCGTTCAATGGCTCGGCACATTTAAAAACGTTTGAGCTTTACCAACACTGTTACTTAAAATCTTCAGTGAAACTCCATGACATTCTCAGTGTTGAAGTTGATGTTGGAGATGAACCACGGGAGTCAGAGCTCTATAGAATATTTCTTAAGAACAAACTCATTTAAGGGAAAGCGCACTGATAAATGGTCTCCTAAGTCAATCCAATGAGAATTTTCTCACTGTTCTCCTATCAACTATCTCAAGGATGGGTAAAAGTTTCTTAGTTTAGGTAACATCCGAACAAGGACAAACGGTTGATCATCGACCTTTTTCAACCCAAGAAGCGTTATTGCTTTACCGATAGTACTTGTACTATGGGCAGTGATGAGAAGCATCCAGCGTCCAACCTGTCAAAGGCTGGACGCCACTGCGACTCACAAAACGCGAATAATTACGTCGGTACTTCCGGGCATCCCACGATTTCCAAATTCTAAGAAGTCAATCCTCTACTGGGCGACTGCAAGCAATGCAACGGCGTGTGAGTCCGCTCGCTCCTTAACTCATAGGGGTTTGCTCGCAGCAGTTGGAGCGAGCAGTTGGGACTTCATTTACAAGGGGGTGGTAGCATGGGAACCTCCATCAATCTGAAGTCTATCGACAACACTCTCATACAACCATGACAGCAGACTTGACATCTCAACCACGAGATGCTTAGCAAACACCATGAACCCGAGGGATTACTCAAACATGGCAGCTAATTCATCCCACTCGTCATACGAGGACGTCCGGCCATCACCATCATATTTGAGTCTAATACTGTCGGTTTCATATCTACAAGACTATACATCGCATCCAGCAGACTTTCGTACACCAGCTATTTCACAGTGATAAATCCGCTCGTCGTTGCATTGGAGGTGCTCCACGGATGCTTATGAATAAACAAACGAAACCGTGGAATGTCCTACTCGGTCAAAAAGCTTCCGATGCAGGCCAGAGTCCTGCTAAAACTTCACCTCTATTTATACATTGTGCACGTTCTCAGGGCAGCCCACAGGTGTTAACGTAGCGAAGAAGTGCATCGTGTTTCTTCGTGTGAGACTTGACTCTGATCATCCGAAATCTGGTAGCGCACTTCCTGTACATACTAGCGCAGCTACGAGAACCTCGATCAAGAGCATTCAATTACCTGAAACACATACCTGGCGGGCTTTCACTAATTTAGCTTCTCTGCTGCTCCTGCTCTATCTTATAGTACGCACGCATGCTTCCGGGTAAGAAAATGGGAATCAAGAAACACCAGAGATTGTAGTTCCAGATTATGACATTCACAGCCGCCAATATCTGTCCGCACAGAAGCCAGTATCCTGTTGAAAACTCAGGATCAACACCGTCCCCGAAAATGTAAAGCGCCCAGGTCCAGAGAGTGAATATCCTCCTCGCGTTGTACATGACCGGCACCAACACTCGAATGAGAAGAGAGAAGGAGACTCTGGTGTAGGTGTAATTCTCGCTGAGGCACTGAACGAGCAGGAGGAAAATAGAAGGCACGGCTGCCTCGAACCCTGTCATGTCACCTAGAATGTACGCTCCGATGAGGTACACCAGAGGAAAGAGCAGTCCGAGCACGGACATCGTACTCAGGTAGATGGCGAAAACTTTCCCTGGGAACATTCCTGGGATGATGTAGGGAGTAACTGCGGTGAACACCTTTTTTTGCATGATGAAAATGTAAAGGGTAGTCAGGATTGAGAAGATGATGTCCTCCTTCGGGACCCATCCTCCCGCAATCAGAATGATGCAGAGACTGGAGAAAACAATCTCGCCCGTGTAGGTCTTCTTGTACATTTCGTTCGTCTGGCCCTTGGTATCTTTCACCTGTTTCGAGTTACTCGACTTCCCGCCGTCGACCTCCATGTTCGCACTTCAGAAATCGAGAGCACTTTGCTTATGCAAATTTATCGGCTCAAAATATGGACTCCCGCAGTTCCACTGTTCAAGGATGACTTCCTCGTCTTCAAATGTGCGAGTGTGCTCCGGGTGTGGGTGTGGTATCTCCACCTGAACTTGAAGCCACACAAACTATCAAAAGAGAAAGCGCACTAGGTCGTTCCACAGTCGGGAGTCATGATGATATCTGCTGCTGAAAGACGAACTAAGCACGTCCATCCATTTTCGATTGATGCCAGAACCTCGCGCCATCAGCAGACCCTACGATCCAGTATCAAAGATTCCTCCACAGCATTATTTCGAAACAGACTCTTCGCTTTGTGAAAATAATGTATTTTGATGCATCGCAACCGAAATGTACCTCAACAGTGGTGGTGCATTATTCTTTCAAACACGGAGTCCTAAGCGGAATTAGGGTCCGACGCATTCACACTGATCGAGAGCCGCTTGCAATCGGGCGAATTGAGTTTCGGCTCCTGCGGTGGCAATCCGTCCTCCATCGATGATACTGAGCATGGCGAACGCTCGGTGGAATTCTCCGGGTTCGGCGATTCGTATGATGTCCACAGGAGATGTTTTCACATTCTTTTTCAGTTGAATCTAACGAGATTGAAAGGTTTTGATTATGGCAGTCGTGTCCAGGCCAGTCAACCTCGGGGGCACTCAGCAGATGCGTGGTCAGACAGGGATCAGACAGAGAGAAGCCCGGCAGCGCCAAATATGTGGTTCTCGTACGACTCGCACAGACAGCGAGGGCAGCGGCGAGACGACGATGTGTCCCTCCCTCATGCCCCCACACAACTGCCTCCCAAGCTCCGAGCTTACATTCTCGCCTACCTGGAAAGGGCATGTGGAAGTGGTTCCCCTCCCTGTCCAGGGCCCTGCTCTGCCACCACCGTGGGCAGCGCCATCCATGCCAGGCCAGGCTAGGCCAGGCCAGGACTTTGACTCCTCCTGCTGCTTCACCGTGTTTCATCGACCTCTTGCAATATGCCATGGAAATTCCTCCTCGCCTGGATTCGCGGGCTCCCCTGTCTTCAGTTCTGAGGAATTTAACACAGACATCAATGTTGCCTCAATTCATGTTCCCTTCCAGCGGTCCAGTTTTTGTCTCCAGCAATGTTCTTCTTACCGATATGTTCCCACAAATCTTACTAATCTTAAAATTTTGTAAGTGACAATCTGCAACTCAACTGTGCACTTCCACTTCGGCTCGCCATAAAATGTCACCGGGCTTGGTTGGTAGCCAGTCCTCCAACGGTGGTTCTGTCCAACTATCCTCCATTTTTCTATGCAATCTGCTTAAGTATTGACTTCTTCCCCTTAACCCACTTGTCGATGTAAAGCACGTTCTACACGAAGTGATTTGGTCAAAATTGGGAGGACCCATCAAATCCTAGGGGGATGAAACCAGTAGAGGGACCATGAGACCCCGATAGCATCATGTTTCATATTACACCTATCGTCTAATTTTCCTTTTAAATACATGTTGAATGGTTTACATACTATTAGAGCATCCCAATAATCATCACCTCACACGATCCCTCTTTGATTCCAGCAGCTATTTTCCTTTGTTTAGCTATGGACACTCTTCCACTGATGTGTCCATGTGCATAGCTCAATATGACTACTGACTCTAGAGTAACAAATAGAACCTCCATGTATACCATTAAATTTGAGAGATTGGTATATGCTGCTCAACTCCTAGTGTGACGGATATTGGTGACGATAGAGTATCAAAGAGGAACCTCCAATTACACCATCTCATTCGAGAAATTGGTAATTGCTCCTCATCTTCTGGTGTAAGGCATACTGTACTGAATATGATGATCTAATTGTCATGTGTAATATATTCAACATCAACATTTTGATTCCGACTTATAGCTGCGCCTGCGCCTCGACTTATATCAGTTGAGGAAATCGCCATTCATCCACGTGAACACCCCACCATCAACTTCCATCATCCGAGAAGATCGCCACATGGACGAGGTTGTGGGACAGACCGGAAGGCATTTGGACTACTCGGAGTTAGTTAAAGTGGCCATTTTGACGACAATAAATATCTCTTCGGAAAACCACAGATTCAGTTCGACCGAGCCCGAATGTAACGTGGATACACAACTACTGCGGCTGGCTCATTCGTCGTGACGTGCGGCGGCCATTGAAGTGACGAAACCTCTTGCTTCAGGTTTCATTTGGCTGGCTTCCTTCGGGTTTCGTGAAAGCTGCATGCTTCAGAGTTCTCGTTTCTTCGCGATAAGCGCACGAGGAGCTGCCTTCCATATCTTCACCTTGACTCTCGGATTCTTCTTTCAGAAACCGGTGGGAACATCGCCAACTTCCGGTCGAAACTTTGTGCCGTGGACATTTTTATTAAAGATACAAAACTTTTCGCATGAGTTGGTTTCTCCATGAGCAGGTGAGCGAATTCCTAACCCCGGAGACGGTCAAATGGTCAATTCACAATATTGGCAAAGCCTGAAGAACCTTTGGGCTCGATTCCGAGGCTATTCACGGGTGCTAGATGTGGGTTCAGGCTTTAGATGGGAACTAAGGTTGAAGTGAGGCCCTGCCAAGTTCAGAGATCGAAACATCCAACTGAAAACTCGATATACTATACGTTGAGCTAAAAGCGTGTTCCTTATTTTTCATCTTTCAAAATAACAAGCAAGAGAAAAAATCGCTTTGTCTGCTTTGATTGTAAAACCATTCCTCGTGTTCTCGTTTCGTGTCTTTGTTGGGATTTTTGAAGAATTTTGTATATGAAACAATATCTTAAACAGGTTCTCGAATTTATTTCTTAGTGATTTCCATACACCATTACAGCAATAATTATCTGAAATATACCATTAACCCGTAAACAATTAGAAATTAGAGTATCTGTAATAGATGTTATAGGCTTCGAAGATTGATAATCTATTAAATTTTTACTTTAGCCCCACTAGGCTAGTCAAACCGGAATACAGTGAAATTAAAAACGAGTGTCCGTGAGCATAGCGTCTTCGTTACTGGATGTGGGTTTTCTGTGGTTTGCTAGTTTTTTTTTTGGGCGAAGTAGAAGGAGAAGTTCTCGTGCTCAGACATCTATGGTGTGGCATCAAGAAACTTGCTCAAGTTATACAACAAATCCACCCAAGTAAACCAAGAACTCCTTGCGAACTCCACATTTATAGATTAGAGCTGCTATGGAACTTGTCACCGTATGTCATACCGTCATGTGATTTCTCTCGACTCACAAAGCGGTATGTCATCTTAAAATCCACATCCAGTTGTTAGGACTTCAATCATCATAACTCTACGCGAAAACGAATATCATGTATATTGTTAAAACTTTTGTTTATCGAGAAAATGATTACCTCGCCTCCAACATATATCTTTATCGGTATGAACATGTGCAAGTTAATATATGTATGTAGACATTAGAGCCATGATACCATGATCCTGACATTTGAATCTGGAATCCTCAAGACATGTGCAAGCTGTAAACCAGAACTTAGAAAACATAAATTCAAACCAATGTCCAACATGTAGGCTAAACCACACGAGGCTATTCGTCATGTATTCTTATTATTTCACATGTGTAAAAAGATCTACAATCTGATGTTGGTTTGTTGGGGTTATGGTTTGACATATCTTTCATTATATTCATCTAATTTGTTACTATATGTAGATTCTTTCAAATGAAAATGTTAAATTTTATATAATATTGCAGTAACAGATGGATATCAAAACTATCTAATCATTTTAAGTGTCAAAGAATCCTTTTTGTGACTTATCATGATGAATTCATTTTGACTTCTACAGTCCAGTTTCATTTTATGCTTATTTGATCACAGTGATTAACTTGTTTCAGTTTTAGAGTGAAATTTGCAATGTTTGAGAATACAGTCCCTGAAGTTTATTGCCAAAGAACATTCAAAGTATTATTGATTTTGCTTGTAACATCAGGTATCGGTTCTGATGCTTCTAAAGTTTTTGTCTTCTCGAAGCTGGGTATCGAACAAAATAAATGAATTGTTGTCCACTTCTACACAAATGTTACAGAGGAAGCTTAGTATATAAAGGTGTCTTTCATATTAGATCGCGCAAAAAATGTCAACATCTTACTTTATGCATGGAATGGTACTGTACCACACAAGGATCACATCCACCAACTCCACAGATTCAATGCGGCAGGAGGAAATGATGTGCATATATAACCACAGAAGCCTCTGTAGCACGTAATAATGAAGGTATCCACATTAAAGTTGCCAACTCGTAACGTGTAACGTGAAACTCATCCTTTTGGCTATTTACTCGACCTTTCCAATTGTAACGTGCAACACTTCTATAAGAAAAATGTAGAAAGGTGAGAAATCCGCCCCATCAAAATACCGCAGTCATCGAGACAATCATATCGATGGAGTTAAACTCCATTCGGATTCAAAAAAAAGGGGGAGACGCGATACTTCTTCTGTTGGCCCTCCCTCCCCCATCCTGATCAAACTGATCATTACTGTACACCCCTGCCCGCTCTGCGCCCATCGTTCCAGTAATTAAGGGCTTCGATCAGATTCGGAAATGGAAAACCGTAACTAGAAACCTTCCTCCATCAGAAGATTAAAATCTGCACATGTGGGAACGAAGGGAGCTGATTCTACTGGGCTTAGCACCATCTTTCCTTCGGATTCACCCGTGTACAACTCAGCGTCGGGCTACGTTGCTGAGAGTCCCTGAGTGTGGAAGCGGAGGACCACAAGATGGAACAAGAGATTGACGCTAGGGGGGAGGAAGGTCAGAGCGCTGAGGGGAACCAACTGCCTTCTGCTTCGCACTCGGCCCAACCGTCAGACTGTCAATCCCTGACAGAAACAGGCTCGGCAGCACGTTCGGCTCCGGTCGAAGTTGCGGCGGTCCCTTCGGTAGCCAATTCGCGCGGCTCCACGTATGCCGTACGTGAGCACGTCCTAGCTGGCAGCGCCGGGGGCAGAGATCGATCCGGCCGAGGTCGATGAGTCCGCGCCCATCGACGGCGCCCTCCTCGCCACGTGTTGCCCTCCTTTCGTTCGATTCACGTGGATAAAAGCGGATCTTCCCCGGCCGAGGTTTGGTCCCCGGGGGAGGAGGCCGCAGTGCAGTAGGCCGAGAAGCGAATTCGAACCGCGTAGGGGACCGTAGTGTGGTATGATGGCGCGGGGCGATGGGGGGCGATGGTGACCTCCCTCCGGCTCCTGCGGAAGGGAAGACAAGAAAGCGGAAGAGGAGCGACGACGACGAGAGAGAACGAGCGAGCAGCAGGAAAGGAGCGCAACGAAGAACATTGGCTCGAGGAGGACGAGGCGGATCTGGTCGGAGGACAATCAGGGGGCGCATCCGGGTGGCAGAACGTGCACCCAATTTGTTGCCAACAGTCTTTGCAGAGGAGCTGACCTTTTTACGGTGCACTGCAGCTGGAGGGAGGGAGGGAGGGAGGGAGGGCGGAAGGGGGGGGAGTACGGCGCACTGAGAATTGTTGCCACGGGTGGCAAGGGGAGGGCAGGGGAGAGGGAGGTAAAGCGAGTGGTGGTTCTAGGGGTCGATCGATCGATCCACCGGCCGGCTGGCTTGCTGCTTGCTGCTTCTGCTTCTGCTGATGCTGCTTTGGCCTCGAGAGTGAGTCCTCCCTCGCAAGCACGCGTCGCGGGCGCCTCGGCAGGCTGGGTGGGAAGGTTTTTTCGTGCAGCTGGAGTGCGAGGAGGCGACAATTTTTTTTGTACAATGTGAGTGGAGCATGCTCCTCTTTCCTTCCTTTCAGCCCTCACCGTCAGGGGCCCTGCTGCTTGTGAAGCGAGTGCTCGCCCTCTTGTGAGCCTTGTGTCGGTGTCGGTGTCGTGCTTCAATGCCGACGGGTATTCGGCATTCGAAGTTCTGTTGATCAGGCCGACGCGTGTCCTGTTTTCTGGAACAACCTCACCTCATGAATCTCATGGTTTCTCCCATCTGTCAGGCATTTGCCGGTCTCCCGCTTACTGTTCATTTTGTATCGCGCTTTGGAGGGATAAAGAGAGATCAGCATTATTAGAGGCAGATCGACAACTGCACGTGTGAATACTTCTTGAGCATCTGAAGGAGAACGACAAATTGGACAAGTGAGAACCGTGTGTGGAAGTTTGCTGTCCAACCAGTCCAGCTTTGTTGCGCATTTTGAAAGATTGTGTTTTGAAACCTTAGTGCACAACGTAGATGTTCTTGAGGACCTCAAGTGACGCGCGACCGAGGCTTGTTCTGATCCTGTGATTTAGATCTAGGTGTTCAGACTTCATCCTAGATTTTTATTCTTATTTTTATTTTTTGTTTTGTGTGAGGAGCACAGTAAATGATCAGGCATATCCCAACCCCGAGTCTTACAGAGCTTGCACGAACAACATTGTCTACTACCTTGAACTTTCAGAAGTACTTTAAGTAAGGCTCTTCGCGCGAGAAGTGCCCTCCATTGCCTGCTCCTTGATCTGGAGGATGACGAGGGTTTGCGCTTGTTGCGAGGAGTCACAAAAGTCTTCTTTGAGCTGAATAAGAATTCATTCTCACGAACGCAATCCCCTATTTTCAACTGACTCCTTTCCTCCTCATTGTTCAGAGTTGGGCTTTAGCAGAAGTTCGGTGTTCTCGTGGAACACTCAGCACGCGCGGGTGGTTTTAAGGAGCTGTCTTCTAGGATAACGCTGACGGATCCACATTTAGTGTTATGGTTTATAACTGAAGACGAGAGGCACGGTAGGGATTAGGCATTGCGGTCAACAGGGTTCCCTGCCATTAAGTTTTTTGACCCACTGGGAGCAGGGAGATATGGATTGCTGGAGAACATCAGGCGAAGGGGGTGGTGAAGTTTTCTTGGTTTACATCATGGAATTGAGCTTCAACACTCAGTCGCAGTAATACTTGCAGCACCGTGGCCTCCCCAAATACAGGCAGTCTGTGTAGTCATGGAGCCTCAGCGGCAAGGAAGCCTCTTTGGAAGGCGCTCAAGTTTCATCAAACGATCAGACATTTCTGTAGATACTGCGTCGAGACCCGAGCGGGATGATCCATCCGGACTTCATGATGCAGGAGTCGGATCCCCTATGGATTCTCCCATATGGAAGCGAGCTGGTTCAACAAAACGAGGCCACAGCCAACAGTTGAATGGAAACAATGTACACAAGACTCGTCAGATTGAATGGATGATTCATCTCAAGGAAGTTGCCCAAGGTTTGATGACAAAAATTTACAGGTTGAGGCAGATACTTGGAACGCCCGACTTTTCTGCACCACAACTTCCGGACGATTTTTGGAAAGCAGGAGTACTACCGGATTTGCCCAAACTTTGCACTCACGTGGTCAGGAAGTTTCCTGACCATCCTGCAAAGTTACAACTGGAAAAGGTATCTCAGCCGAGCAAGGGTTTTCTGCTCTCTCTATCCTATGCTATACTCTCTATGTGATTGCTAAGTAAAGGTAGCAATCAGTTGTTGAACTCAGCGACGGCCATTGATTTGACAATCTAAGTAAATCTTAGTTTCAAGAATTTTCTGCTCGTTTCAGAGTTAGTAGCCGAGTTCGCAGCAACATGAATGTGTCTTGTCATGAAGTGGATTTTGTATACTGATCAGCAGTATGTTGCAATATGTCGCTGCCATGTGCTCAAATATGCTCCTTTCCTCCCGTGGACGTAAATTACGTAGTATAACTTAGTGTATATATGCTCCGAAATTATTAATTTTAATATCAACAAGGTAATTCGAAGGTTTAATGCATCGATCTCTAATAAATAGTCCGTCAGCTGGCATACCGAATCACTAGAGTTTCATTGTGGAAAAAGTAAAGACCTTTTCCAAGTAGCAGCTTTTAACCTCAAATCAGCACATGCCTTGTTGTCATCTACATAAATGCATAATAGCCACGACAATGGGGTAATTGGCGAATTTCCATCTGCGTTGTTTGTTTAGTGTTATTCAATGCCTTTCTTCTGGATATGACTGCATATTACGTGCCACGCGAGTTACTCGCATTTCCCCTTCTGATCATTTCTGCTCTCCTCCTTGGGCACAATCAACAGGTTGACAAGGCTGGTCTTGACTATCTGAACGAGAATGCTGATAAGATTTCAGCGGGCCTTGAACCCTGGCTTTTTGTAAGTCCTTACATATTCACTTGAGACAAGTATATCCTTTATACACTGAATGCACTTTTGCAGCATCAACCATATTAACAATCTCTAAATAAATCTTTTCAGGTACTTGTTGACCTGATGATATTTCGTGAACAAGCGCTGCGTGTAATCTTGGATTTAAGCAGCACAGTTGTCACGCTACTGGTATGTCTTTCCCATTTAATAGCTTATTTTCTTCCATACTACAGGCTGTCCAATAAACACGTTTTCAATGTATTTCTACACGGCAGGAATAAAAACTTGGTGTCAGGATCTCAACATTATCGAAATAGTTCTTTCCACATTTATGACTGAATGAATTGCGGTGTTTTGGAACTGTCGCAGCCTCAGCAAAATCCTCTTATTCTGCACCTTTTTATGGGCCTGTTTTGCTCCTTCATTCGCGTGAACCTGATGGCAGACAAGGTATGCGAGGACCCTTTCTCTCTAAGACTGTACTAGGTTGAGCTTGACATTTACATTTTCCAGGTTATTTATGAGATTTGCTATGCATATCCAGGCTTGCCGGACTTTATTGTCACTTAATTGCTTCGGATTCTATCTTCTAATTGAGCAGATACCGAGGAAGATGATATTGCAAATGTACAATCTTACACACACTATATTGAAGTCAGGAAGAGACTTCGAATTTTATCATCGGTAACTTGACCCTATCCTTGAGCGAATAGTTGCTTATCTTCTAGACTATTTAAGCAACTTTAAGGTCGCCTACTGAGGAATGTAGGGAACTGCGTTTAGAGACGAGGAAGTCTCTCATCACTATCCTACAGAGTTCAAATGTTCTAAGCTCGACTCTTGTGTTTGACGATCCAGTTTGGTACAATTTGTGGACTCGTATGATCTTCCTCTTAACGGCTTACATGATGATCTCAACTTCGTGAGCCCCCGTATTGGAGAGGTATGTGGGTTTATCGAACATGAATTTCGTTTTTTCCAACTGTAGATGGTCAAGCAACGGCGTATGTGTGCATGCGCTTTTGTATCATGTGCTCAAGTGCTTTTGTAGTATAACTTGTCTCCCATCTGAGGTCAATGCTTGTTACACAGATTCTGGATGCTGTTGGTCCCACCATATTTTTGGGTGTGGATTACCAAAGACTGCGAAATGAAGGATTTTTAAGCCCCTTCCACCCTCGCTATCCGGATAAACTCACAAACTCTGCACATCCTGCGGTAACTTCAAATACCAATCTTTTCATTGTGCATGTTATTCTTCTCCTTGCGCTCTATCTTTCAGCTGTTTCAGTTTTGAGTACCTGAGACACTTTGGTAGAAATATAAAATTTCTTCTGGTCACTTCAGCTTAGATTTTTGCAGTACATTTCGACTCCGATCTTGATCGGTTTACTTATTCGCAGTCCCCATTTTGATTCGCCTCCTTGTCAAATTTGTACAGAGAGCGCAAGACTTAGCTCATATCGATGCCTACCGTGAATGGGTGCTCTTTGGGTATCTTGTCTGTCCTAGCGAATTGCTACGGACAAATGGAATCGAAATTGCGATGGTACGTGTTCATCACTATTGGGATCTCAGATATAGACTAAAATTGCCCTGCTTGTCTTTGTTTTGATGAAGAATTATGCCAACGATCTTTCGATGTTCACCTTTGTCAACAAAAACTCATTTCGGTTATGTTAGTTGGGGCTTTAATAATATCACATCACTTTTTGCCTACTTTGATGTCTTAAGCCTGAGATGTCGCAATCATTGTTTTGTGTTCTGAGATTGTATCAATTGTCCTTTTGGTCTACGGTTCAAATCAGAAGCTTAAGTGTTTTGACTAAAACATTGTTTCTTATTCTGCCAGGCGATTCTGCGGGAAACGTTGGTTTTATCTCTCTTTCGTGACGAGGTAATGTCTTTCTCTGTGGATGTGAGATTATATCGCTTGCGGATCATAATTTACTTCATTGACTGAAGGTCAATTACTCAATTTTTCTTATATGTTATCCTGAAATTGCAGGTCTTGCTCGTACATGAAGAATATCAGCAGTATGTACTGCCAAAGATAGCCGAGTCCAAGAAGCTGGCTAAAGCTGGACGGGCTAAAGGAAGGGAAGCCGATGCAGAGTATAATCAAGCCAAGCAGGTGGAGAAAAACATCTGGTAGGTTTTTATTGCGTGAGGTAGAGGAACGATGTATATTTGGAAGGACTCTTGGAGTTCACCTGTGAGCCGTTTGGTTTTTAAACACATCAACAATGCAGACAATGTTTTGAATCTGAACCAACTTTTACTACCTTCTAAGTCTGATTATAGCAGCATGTGGCCCTGAAGTGAGGTGCAGGAAATATCGATTGCTACTTGCGACAACGTTCACAGAGAACATCGCATGTTTTTGAAGCAAGAACTCGGAAGGATGGTTATTTTTTTCTCAGACCAGCCAACTTTGCTGGCTCCGAATATACAGGTGTTGATCTAAAATGAATATAATGGAGCCACCCCTACCTCCTCAACCTTACAGCTCTGAGATTTGCATACTTATCCTCGCTTGCTCTCTGTCCTTCTTATCAAGTTTATTTATTGCGTATGTTTTTCCTGTTCATCTACATTATTTCGACAGTAGACAATAGGGTAGATTTAGCAACATGCATTTTTTCAGTTATCTGATTCCTTACTTTCGTTTTTTGGCTCAATAGATAACATCTTTCTTGGCTAAATCTTCTGAAATCTTATGGTATCGCTCAGAGTTAACATCTCATAAATGATTTTGATTTTACAGATGGTTTTTTCAGCCATTGCAATGGCGCGCTCGGAAGTGATCTGGTTTTTTAGTCATGTTGGAGTGACAGTCGGAAAGTCGAAGGGTAATCGAGTCACGCCGGTGGATCTGGTAAAGAGAGATATACATTTAATCTAATGCCTGGTCCTTTATAGAAGATGTCTGGAACTCAACGATTTAGCAATCAATCGTAGAAAACCAACCTTGTGCACCAGGTTACCCTCTTATGTTATAGCAGGATTATCATCCCATGAGTATTTATGCAGTATATGATGCAAAGTTAACACCTATTCTGAACACTGATGTTCACTTTTGTGCAGGACATCTCAGATCCAAGTATTGGATTCTTGCTGGATGGCATGGATAGATTAATTACCCTAATACGCAAGTATACTCCAGGTAATGAACTGCTGCATTTTGAAAACTGAAGACTAAGTGTTTTGGATTTATGTTCTCATTCACATGGAACATGTGCTTCTAACAGTTGTCAATTGTCAGTCAAGCATAATATAACATTCGGTGTATTACACGTTCAGTTCAATCACTTACGACTCATAATATTGCTTCATCTCTGTTCTTCCTCTTACCAGCTATACGAGGATTTTCCTTGGGCTATCTCTCAGCAGCAGGGCAGAGAATCCGTTTGCTTCTAGGTAGTCCAGGAATGGTGGCCTTGGACATTGATGCTGAGCTGCGTCATCTTTTCCTCTCTGCCTTAGATAGTTTGGAGAAGTTGCCCAAACTGCAGAGTGAGAAGATTGTCACCAGCCCAACAGACCTCTCAGTACGTTTTTTATTTCAACAAGCAATGTCCTGTTTCATGTTTCACTTGTCCTTTTCTTTTCAAAAGACGGTGTTGGATTTGTGAAATGGTTTCGACGCTGTCTACGAGATTTTCTGCATATCTTTACTTGCTCACTTTCTAGTTTTAACCAATCAAAGGAGTTAGAAAGTCAAAGTTGATGTAGTGATTTTGTGTATAAATTTGTACTTATCAAGTTGTGATTCCACTTGACTTCTAGGATTTTAGAAGAGATTGGCTACGTACAATGATGCTCGTGTCGTCAGCAAGGTCTCCTATCAATATTCGACATTTGGACAAGGCTACCTTGCCAGGCAAAGAAAGTATTGTGGCGGAAGGAAACAGGGCATATATGTGGTCCAGGTATTGCCTCTTGTAGTCATTGAGCATGTTTCAAGAGCTATCCTTTTGTCAAGACATCGAGATTTGTCTTCCTCCTAGTATTGGTGGTAGAGGACTCTAGGTGTAACAGATTTTGTTATGAATTTTGACGTTTTCTTCAAGGACACAGGACATAGTTTGTCTTGCATAGATTCAAGTAACGAATAAGCCACCATGGATGTTTGTAAAAAGGATTGAAGGCCAAGGGGTAATCCACGAATATCTTTGCAACCAATTAAAGATTGTCGCGTTCGCAAGTAGGGTGCAATTTTCTATCTTGTCGCTAGGCCTTGATGGGACCTCAATGTGATGAACATAAAGCTCTAACTGTGTATGATATGTTCTAACAATCAGTTCAGTAGTCATTGAGTGAGAAAGAAAGATCATGAGGCAGTGTGTGGGGTTTCTTACATGCTACACCTTTATTGGTGTGGTCTTGTATAGGAGAGTGGATGAAATTGAACAGCAGTTGCAACAGCACGGCTCCCTCAAACTCCTGTACTTCTACAGGCAACATGTTTCCGCGGTGAGTCCATACGTTTATTCACATTGAGGAATTCTCATTATATCTGTTCCCAAGTTTAGAGCTGCCTATTTTCTTGTCCCTCCTGCTTGCCCCTACGCTTCAAGTGTCCAAGTAAGTTGCTTCTATATCACAAAAATGGGCAGCTGGACAAGTCAAAGATACTAACAGCTTTTCCAGAATTCTATCTAAGAGTTTGCATTTGATGAAAACCCAGGTCTTTCGTCACACAATGTTTGGACCAGAAGGTCGGCCCCAACATTGTTGTGCGTGGCTCGGACTCGCCAATGCTTTTCCTGAAAATGCTCATCCCACTCTTCCAGACGAGGTCAGTAGTGACTTGTCGAGCTTTCATCTGGTATACTTCTGGTTTAGGTTGACGTAAGGTCAGCATGTGTCTGATTGCAATCTTACAAGCTATCTGTATTGGACTCTGTGCAGTTATCAAAGTTTGCAAAAGATGCAGTGTCCTACGCTCAGGCACTTATAGAAGCAGTGATGGGTGGTCTTGAAGGCCTGATCAATATTCTTGATTCTGAGGGGGGATATGGATCGCTTGATAATAAAGTAAGTACAATACTATGTTGTCACATATGCATACTATCTTGGTCTTTTGCAATAAAAGCATTACAAATTTGTTTGTGCATTTCCCATTTGATATATGTAGTTTTGATTCTATTCTGAAAAGTCAAAAAGTGGGATGTTGCAGCTTCTTCCAGAGCAAGCAGCCATGCGGTTGAATCAAGTAGGTAAAGTTGCAGGTCCACCGTCGAAGCAGGTGAAGGCGACTCCTGACTTTCCTTTGCCAGGAACCGAAAGCGAGCCAAAGAACAAAGATTCAATAAAGATGTAAGTTGGAAAAACTGATTTGTTACTCTCATTAGACAATAATTTCCAGTCGTTTGTGGGCTCGAATCTTGACAGTCACAACAACTTTCAGAAACATCCCATGCTTAGCTGATTTCTACATCGACAGCAGTTTGTTACAGCTTTACTATCCAATTGGTTTCTAATTCAAATCTCTATTCTACTTTCCGTAGGTTGGAAGCCGCAGTTCAAAGACTGGTTGGTCTTTGTTCAGTCCTCAACGAGATGGAACCTGTCAGGATTCTCAATCACATCTACATTCCTCGAGAGGTGGGTTTTTAAGCTTCGAAAGGTATCTTGATGGTTAGAGCTAATTTCGTGTGATCAAGAACCCTTTGTTCGTAGAAAACTACAACTTTTCTCTTTGTGGAGTTTGAGCTTGAAATTAGGAGCGGATCTCTTTATTCTTAGAAACTGTAGATTCTTTTGTAAGCTCATAAATTTGTGGGATTACAGAAGTGGTCAAGGAAAGCTTGTATTTAAAAACTCAGTCTAGCAGATTAACAAAAGCTTGCTATGTGCCGAGTTTGACCGAAAGCACGTGGAATTTTCTGTTCATGCAATTGCAGTACATGAGAGATTATGTAATGAACAACTTTCGAGGACGGCTTACAAATATTATCTTGGTTGACGGTGATCTGCAACGGCCTACAGTCGTCGAGGCCCGTCTGCAACGACACATGAGTATTATCCATCTGATAGAGCAACATGTCAGTATGGACATGACACGTGGAGTAAGGGAGGTGCTTTTGGCTGAAGCCTTTACAGGAAAGATGCGTGACCTCCATCCTGAAGAAGGGGAGGTGGGATCTGGTGGTGACGCTGTTACAACAGTATCTGACTGGTATATTGAGAACATTGTGAAGGATGTCAAGTTTGCTGGTGTCATCTACTCACCGTTGGACAAGTGCTTCAAAAGCACCAGGCAAATTGGCAGGATACCTGCAGAGTCCGTTGCTCATGTTACGGAATTGAAGGCTTTCATACGGATGTTTGGCCCATATGGAACAGATAAATTGGATAGTGCACTGAGGGAACAGCTTTCAATGCACCTCACGGGTATTGATGTCACTATTCGCTCAAACAAAGAGGCTTTAGAAACTCTGGCTGCTGGTATGCACATCAAGGGAGAAAGGGAGGCTGGATTGAAGCAGCTGTTGGAACTTGAAACCTTGATCAAGCTGTCGTTGCAGGTTGGTCATATCCTGAGTTTTAGAGCCCTACTGGCCGAAGCCACAGCACAGGTGCTGAACGCAAATACTCCCCTTCTTTTTTCTCTCTTCACAGACTTCTCAAAGCACGCCCCTACTTCTGTTCCGGAAACGCCAGAACTTTTAAAGCTGAAGTTGTTGGCCACAAGGATAGGAGCATCGGAAGACCAAGATGTGATGTTAGTGCACTCCGTCTTGGTAGACGTTAAGGGAGCAGGTGATTCAATGTGGGCTCTTTTGCCATATCTCTATGTCGCTTGCATGACCTCCACGATGTGGAACTCAAGCACATTTAGTATTCATACGGGGGGCTTTTCCAACAACATTCACTGCTTAGGAAGGTGAGTACATACATACATTGATAGTTCACATCTTGCATACTCTGAAATCATCTTTCACTTTTCGATCGCTTTTTTAATTCCTGATTTTTGCCTTTTACGACTTGATCATAGTCCAAATTATAACATAATTTTGGCCTGATGACTAGGTGCATAACCGCCTTATTCGCTGCTAGCGAATTGGTCCGCTGCGAGCGCAATGAGCTGCAGAGGCGTTTAATTGCGCAAGAGCAACGATTGACGGGGAGAAGATTACAAGACAATGTCAACATGCCACCCGAAGTAAGGCATGCAGAAGAACAAGCAGCCATCGAGACTAATATTAAGGCTATGATGAAGACGTTTGTTCAGTGTTCATCTGCTATTATGCTTGAGGCCTTAAGCGATAGCAACAGGTAGCAGACCAAACTTTCCCTCATTATTCATTTCACACTTCCTGAAATTGTTCTTCGACACTTTTCCAGAAAAGAGCACGCTCCTGCCAATCACCTTATTTCTAGATCAGGCTAAATCTGACTGAGCTTTGCCTTCTATGTTGTTGCAGGAGTCCATTGGTTGCTAAGCTTGTGTTTCTGGATCAACTCTGTGAACTCTCCCGACATCTTCCCCGAAACACTTTGGAGCAACACATACCTCAGAGTATCTTGAGGTCTATTTATCAACTATATTATGAAAACACTACGCCCACCTTAGTTCCTGTTATTCAAAATTGGCGACAAGTAGCTCGAAGCGACAGTCCGTCTAGAGGTAGTAGAAGGGACGTGAGTGAATTCGGGACTATAAGCGAGAATGCGCCGACTACGTCTGCCGAACTTTCTCGCGCAACGTCACGGGGTTCGATATTCTCTGGCCCCATCAAGTTTTCTTCACAAAGAAAGATGCTTGATGATCCTCCGTTGGATGGTGGATCTGACTCCAAGTCTGGCAGGAAACCAGGCCGGTTCTCAGGTCCTTTAGATTACAATGGAGCCCGAAAAGTTTCATTTGCTGAGAACTCATCAGCTTCGTCAAGTGTTCAAGGTCCGCCTTCTTCGGTTCCAGCTCCTCGCCGCTATGCTTCCTCAAGATCAGGTCCAGTATCCTATGCATATGATTAATTCGGCCTTTCCGACATCTACATCGTAGATATTATGCTTCTCCTCGAAGTTCAGCTACATCATGTTTGTCCTGCATCTGAAGGACTACCACCTCCACTCATGATCAAAAGTGGCAGCCAGATAGACTTGTGATGCACACACAAACAGGCATCGACTGCGTACACACAGAGAGGCAAAACACAACTCCTGAGAAGAGAATCAAGGAAGGGACAGTTGTGGTTACGTTTCCATCTCAGGTTTCGTCTTCGTGCTGGCTGGGCTAGTGACAGAGGAAAAAGAGCTCGTAGCTTTCTGGATATGAATGAGCTAATGCTTGCTGCTCATGTTTCGGCAAGAGATTTCGTCATCTGATTCTGCACCACAAATGCTGGCACCATAACAACAGCTCTCAACCGAACCTGTCATCTGCTGGGCCTGGGTGTAAATTTCATAGATTCCACAAGACGGTGCTTCCCGACTTAATGTCTTCCCTTTTTATTTAGTTGAGCAGCGTTTAAGTTGGGAACACAGGGAGATGGATCATGTATATGCAATTCCTACAGAGTCCCGTTTCCAGCTTTTCTGGGCATGTATCCCATCCGAGACGACGGGTGGTGTTGTGATTCCTCTCCATTGAAAGCTTGCTCCATCAATCTGCAAAGTACCTTCCATTGATACAGATGTCATCAATACGTGACTCATTTTTGACATACTGCAGCACCAATTAAGTATAGGTGCGCAGGTGTACATTTTTTGGCCTCTCCCTACTGACAGACAGACCGACCAGGGCACTATTCTATTCCACTTGGAAGGATTTATTCTGTACAATCCTGGACGTGCTGTCTTTTGTAAATTAGAGGCTCTACTTGAAGCCAGTCAAGGCAAATACTGGTGTACATATGCTTGTGACATATGCTCAGCAGCATGGCATCAATTATTTAAGAAGATTCATGTATATGATTTGTTTATTTTGGACTTCTCGTTCATTGTCCTATACCGTGCCCTCCTTTCGGACTCTTTTGAACACCTTCTTAGGATTCATTTCACAATCTTTTTGTTTGTATCGAAATTGTTATCGGGTGCGTACGAAATGTAGTTGATTGTGAACCCTGAGTTCCTGCATACAGTAACACCATCGCTTGTAGATTTTCATTGCGTTTCTTAATATCTGTGATGAGTGGGAACTTTATAAGTGATTTGAAAGGCAATCATCTACATTCTTGTGAGGTGCGGAGACATTAGATTGGAGAGAAATCAGCTACCCTGCTTAATTCTTCTGACTCCATTGTTTCTGTAGACTGGACAACGCTGTTCTGTTTCGAATCCCCACATTATTACATTTCGTGATGTTGATGGCTACAGGTCCTTGATGTTGTCAGTCCCTTAATCGTCCATTTTTCTCCGTTTTCTCAACGATTGTTTACTTCACCCCATCACAGACCGTTTTTCTACTTTCTCCCTTTCGCACCAACATTTGTGACTCGTTTTTCCCCTGTATCTGTGCTTCCATACTGTCTTGGTGCATCAAAAGTTAACAAGCTCCGTTTTCAAACTTTTTATCGCTTGACATAAATCAGAGCCCAGAGATTTGCTGTCATCTGGACCTCACATCCGTTCTAGTCGATGCTCGTCGTTGGAAATAGGAGGTCTTATTCGTGGTTATCTTTTCATTAGAGCTGATCATCACCTTGGTAAACTGTTTTTTTTTTTTAATTAACCATCTAATCAGACGCAAGGCGTTCCTTTGGCGGCTTCCTCCTTGTATTGAACTGTTTATTTAGGGCAAACATCTAATAACACCCAGGAGTAAAACCATTCTATGCTTCAAATCCTAATAGATAAATAAATGAACACCAATAATGTTAATATACATGTGTGACTATTTATGTGACGAAAATTTTAATAACATTAGATTATCTATTCAAACATCTTTCTATCTATGTACGAACGTAATGATGTCATTGTGTATCAATTATTATTTTCAACTTATTGGTCTCTAAATTCTTTCTCTTGCAAGAATTGGTGAGAATCTTCTTAAAAATATTTTCAATAATGGTAAAAATTTTAAATCTTTGTTTGTCATGAAAATTTTCATAGATTGTATTTTGAATATGACACACTTTTGACAGATTTGTATGATCACACTCTATATATATGCAAATATTTGATGATGTATCCGATGTAAAATATTTTCATTTCTTAAACACCTTTATCATATGGAAGGGTCAATGGATATGTGATGTTATTATTATATTTTATGATCCAAACTTTGCTAAGAAGATTCAGTAATTTTTGAAATATATCTAAAAAAACATAATGCTAAATGTGTTAAACTGATGTATATCATACGCGACATCATGTTGTGATGTTTATAGATAGAGAAGATTTATTGGAAACTGAATGAGGATTTTAACTTTACTATTATTCAAAATAAATTACAGAATATGATATGATATGAATATATATTGTTGGTATTCAAAATTCAGTTCAAATAATAATTTACTTCAGTGCTATTAAGTAACATCAATAATTCAATATCTCCTATCAATATTAAAAAGTTCTGTTTGAAAGATGCTAACCCAAAATCTTCATAGCAAAATCTCATTGAATCCTTTACCTTGATGTCAATATGATATTTGTTCCTCGTACTAATTTAAATGATCTAAGTATACAGTTCTGAATTGAGGTTGTACATCACAAAATCACTATTTAATATAATAATTTAGCTTTTTTTTTCTCTATCACATAATATAATTTCCCCATTTTTTTTCTTGTGTGGATTGTGAAATTAAGATATTTTATCGAATTAATCTCAAGTGTTTTGTATATCCAGAATTTATGTTAATTCAAATGACATACATCTTGTATTCTGATCTTCAACAAAGATACAATAATTTGAACCTCATTGTGTCATCCAAATATATCGAAAAATTCAGTATTTAGATCTTAAGACTTAATAGCATCCAAATCTACAAAGACAGAATAATTTCTACAGTACTGCATAATTTTGAAAACTTCGCTTAAACTTTCGCACAATTCAATTTTTTTTAAAAATAACTCGAACTAAAAAGTTTTCTGAAAACCTTAGAATAATTTTGAAGCCTTACTTAGAGGACTTTTTTCCACAAATTATACGATTTTTAGATAATCGATACAATATACCTAAAAGTTATGTTATAATCTTGTGGAAAAGTTGTTGGAATTGTTTGAAGTTGGAAAATTGTTGGAATTGTAGTTGGAATTGTTTTACATTTGGCTAACATGGGAACAAGTGCCTGCATGCTTGCTCCTCTTCATAGTTATTTATAGAAGGATCGATATACTTCATGGCATCTTGAGAAGTTAAATAACACCTCTAAGTTACAAAAAAACCAGGTACGTTTCAAAAAACCACTTGGCTTCGTAAACATGAACATAGACAAGTGCCGGAGGTTTAACGTGTGGATGTGGCTCGCAATAGTCTATCGTTGATTTGAGTGTGTCGGCCCGTGTTTGTCCGTTTGAGAGATTGGAGCGCGAAGTAGGTTCTTGGGTAGGATCAAGTGCACTTACAAAGTAAAAATTAAATGGTGATATTGATTTTAGTGTATATACACCCAACAAACACCCACTCCGTGGTATTTCTTGGGTGTATAGCATGACATTTTTTGGGTGTATATCGCTAATACCACGGAGTGGGTGTGTGTTCGGTGTATATACACTAAAATCATTACACTCAAATTAAATTGAATAAAACTAGACAACAAATGTTACATCAAGAAAAATACACTTTACGCAAAACTCTTATATCTTGGTTTGGAGCCAAGTTGAAGATGATTATTGCTACTTGTTAGCTTTCACATTCGTCCAATGTCAAATTTGTAATGCTACGGATCGAAGCTTCCGAGGTAGATTTGGGACATGGTGGGATAAATAAATAAAATTGAAAAATGTGCGAGCACCTATTGTCTTAAGTGTCAATATTTTCACTTCACTGAACATATCAACATATCGTATAATTTAAATTAAATAACATGTTTTCATGGCTAAACCAGACCTAAATCTATATTTTGCAAAGAACTCCTATCAGGTGATACTAAATGGGAGATTATTATTACTTATAGAATTATTAAATTTTAAAAAATATTTTGAGATGAATAGTCATACACCTAAATAATTCGGACAAATTGGATGTTGTAATATATATGTAGCTACTATGGCCTTTCACAGTGTTTAGTCTAAATTAGAACGGGACTCATTCAACTGAACACACTGTCGTAGAGATAGAAGGCCTTTCGAAACACAGGAACGTTCTAGATCCTTGAATGAAAGAGGTAGATTAACCCTTCCTGTGGAATTGAGGTTTTGTGGAACACATTTCCCATTCTGATATCGTTGGGAAACCACTAGTGTGCGTATATTCTCCTTACGTCTCCATGAGTATTTCCAAATTCGATCATGTTTCGTTGAAACCCCGCCTCATAGAAATCCGGGGCTTTTGAAATCTCACTGGGACTTGAAACTGACCGCGGGTACTGGTCAGAAACTGGTAACCTAAGGTCAGGTTCGAGCCGGCGAACGAAGGAGACAGTGGGCGACACACAACCTAGCAAAGCACCGTAGCGCCAATTTCAAGCAGCGCCTTCTTCTGTTCTGTTCTCGATCCTCGGCACTGTCACCATCTCTTCCTTCGCGCTGCACATTTCTCTGGCATAATGCCTCGGTTAGTGACGCTCGCCCTCGCCCTCGCCCGCGCTTGCGCTTGCACGCCTTCCTCCTCTTCTTGCCTCGTTCATCGTCCGTCTTCGAGCTGATGTTTGCATCGGCGAATTCTTTCTGCATCGGTCTTCGCTCTGACGCTCGGTTGCGCGTTGTTGGCTTTGCGCAGGTACTATTGCGATTATTGCGACACGTATCTAACTCATGACTCTGTAAGTGCCGGCTGCACGCTTCGAAAATTCGTACAGGCTTTGCATTAGTAGTGAACTTCTCCTGAGCATTTGGGGAGTGTCCGTTGAAGTGTGTGTGATGTCTGTATTTTGAAGTACTTGAGATCTAGGGATTGCCTTTTTTTTTTTCTGCTGATGTTTTATAGAGGCAGTGTGTTCGATTCCGCTTTCAAGCTTTTCTGACATTTTATTCATATTCCATTTTGACATTTTCCTTTGACTCTGCGTGTATAGCCGTCCGTGAGGACACAGCACAATGCGGGTTACAAGCATAAGGTAGGACACGTCTCAATCGCAATGCGCCACAATTGAAGCCACAATATTTTCACTCAAGTCATAAATTCTAGACTAGAAAGAGCTTTTGAGGTTTGGAAAATAAGTGGCTTGTGATGAACTCTTCTACAGTTAAGCGCAAGATCATACCTAGGTTGTCATATGGATTAGAAGAAGCTAATGTTCTTAGCCTGTCAGTGCGTTGAGAAGAAGAACTTGTATCAAGACCTCTCTCTAGCTCATAACGTTGAACAATCTCGGATTTGGGTGATATTGTTCAGGCAAATGTTCGAGCGTATTATCAGCAGTTTGAAGAGCAGCAAACTCAAAGTTTGATCGATCAGAAGGTTAAAGAACATTTGGGGCAAACTGCTGCTGGAGGAGGCACTGCTTTCCAACAACATCTTGCTGCCTTACAAGCTGGACAGTTTAAACCTCCTATCCTTGGAACCGCTCCAGGGGTTCTCCCTTCCGCTCAACCACCTTTATTACCTAATATTCGTTTGCCTGTACTCCCTCCTCCAACATCGGCTGGTCAAGGTACTTATCATCAGGACAGTTTGCGATCCTGGTTCAATCCGAATGTCATCTTTAAAAGACTTGGATTTTGCTGTACTTGAAGTTCAAAGAACGCGTACTTACCATTGTGATTATTTGGCCAACCTTAAGAAACAAGAGTGGAACCATCTTTTAAGTTAATTGACGATTCTCTGCGGGTGTAGGTTATGGAAATCCACCGGGAGGCCCGTACCAGTACAGACCAAATGCCGCAGGTGGTGCACAACCCAATGGAATGCCCGCTCCTCCTACTCTTACTCCTCCAGGTGCTCCGACAAGACAGTCTGCTCCTCCCTCAAATCCACCCAACTACGGCTCGTACAATTATGGCCCTAACCCGCCTGGTCAATCTCGACCACCTAATCCTTCATCAGGTTACTCCGGCCAACAAGCACCGCCAGGCCCCCCTGGTTCTCAGAGTACGTATGCTTATGGACCTCCAGGAGGACAAATGTCTTCGAATTCTTCCTACGGGCCACCGCCTCCCGGAGCTCCGGGAAGTTACAGAAGCTGAAGGGCAGGTTTGTGCATCGGAGGTTGGTAAAGGGTTTCTTAGCCTGCTTAGTTGTGTCTGCATTTACATGACAATCTAGTTCCACATGGCGTAGGCTTTATGAGATTACCAAACCTTACAGTCAGCCAGCTTGTACAGTTGACTAACTGCAGGTTGAACAGTCTGTGTTCTGAGATCAACAGAGGTTTGTGCGGGTCCGAAATTTCTTGGTAGGCTTTTGATGTTAGTGGAAGTGTTTTTTGTAAAGCACAACCTTGTGCGTCTGGAGTGCGAAGGACCCGATTAGATACCGTCAAGGAATGAGTGTTCTGCCTTACAGCGTCATGTAGTTAAAGAGTAGAAAATTCTCTCCAGCAAGAAGGGTTTGACATAGTCAGTCAGGAGCAAAAGCATCTGCGAGAAACTTGACTGATATCCTTCTATCTCGCGGGAAGGTAATTGTCCCTACTCAGTCCTTGATAACATGTTAAGTACACAGGATGGGAAATTTTTAAATCGAGGAACCAGTTATGTTCCTGTCAGTTTGGAGTGGAAAGGTGGTACTCTGAACCTTGATCTTTGCTTGCATGCTTTTTGTTCGCACTTAAGTTGACAGGCATGAAAGGTCAAAGCTGTTGTAACGGGGATTCGAGGTCTTGGATGCTTACCTAAATTAGAACTTGATTGTTAATATTTACAGCTTGAACCAAATGTTCAACATAGATTTCAACATAGGTCCCTTCGTACTCCTTAAAACATGTTGTCCTTAAGCCATTTCTCAGTTACCGTCAGCGTGCTGCAGAGGATGGTTTACACTTGATCTCTGAACTCCAGGTAAGTTCTATGTAGATGCTTTTAGGTACTGATGCAACGCGCGTGACAAGTAGATATGGAAACCCTTATTTTCTTTCTTACCTGAGACTGTTTAAAGTTCTAAATCTTTACTGTCCTGGATACAGGACTCAAAAGTAGTTAGATTCAGGAGATAGGAGCTTCTCCCTTTCCATAGATTATGTGTGGTTCTGGAGGACAAGGTTTAGAGTCACGTCGCAGAGCTCTACTTTCTCTGACCTACGTGACCGGAAAGAACCATTATCCGGTCACGTATGTACTTGTTCTTCTTCCACCCTAATCAATAAGCTAAGAAACTGAACTGAAGGATGGATGCCCTTTGATTTAACGGGTTTATCACCCATCTGTTGACAAACAACAGAATATGCACCCTGTGTGATCTGGTACAGACTATACACCTGGTCATTATCTTTCATATTTTACTGCGGTCTGAGCTAGGTCTTGTTCTATCCTCAGTGCTCGGCTTGAAAGTTCTTTTCTGATGATTTGTAATGTCAGATTTGCATTTTCTATCTTCGTTCCGAAGGAGGGTCCTGGGATGATGTGACTTGGAACTCTATTCTTAATTCACATATCAGTTTGGAGAGCTGCTCGTTAGAACCCCACAATACACTGAGTATTCCAGAAGATCCATCAAACATGGGCATCAAAACTGTTAGTATCGGCGAATCGTAAACTGGACACTCCAACGTTATTCCTTCTGCCCTTCTTGGCCGTGTTCAAGCATACTTCACAGGCGATGCAGCCTGGGAGATAAGGAGTGAAGGGTGAAAAGACGGTAGTGCCTCCCACGAAGCTTCAAATCGAAATGCCATATAAAAGAATGTCTACGGAAGAATGTACTGGGTTTCTACGAGTGTCTATGATCCCTCGAACAGGAGGTCATGTCCTACAAGCACGAAGTGAAAAGAAGATGAATTTCGCAACAAAGAAGCGTGGTTTGGAAAAGCGGACGAAACTGCTCTTCGGACAGAGGCCCGACGCTATCAACAAGCATTTGCCAGAGCCCCTTGACTTCACCTGAAGACCCATAAGTTTCTTCGCGTGTGGCTAGGATCAACAATTAGAAGAACTCTAAATCTGCCGGCACAGTGGATGAAACAGCCGACCACAGTACCAAAGCCCTTGCAACTGTTTGGCAAGGAGACAGTAATGGCTTCCTGAGGGTTGTACCCTACTGAACAGTTTTCGACTGGAGAGCATTGTGTGACAGCTCTTCGACTGGAGAGACATGCAAGTGCAGGCTCTGTCGACGATCCAAAACATCTACCAGAACTCACTGCCTCTTTCCAGTAGCGTATACTTCAGCGTCTTGAGGGAGAAGGAGAAGGAATAGGGGTGAGATATAAATGTAAACTTTATCTTAATCAAAGTTTCGAATTTATTCATCAGATAATTTTGTATTAAATTTTAAGGGAAGGACATTGTACAACCATATCAAATTTCCCTTTGAAGTGGAAAATATGTAATCGTGAAGCACAAAAACCAATATTGGTGGCTGTAAGATTGTATGCCATGTTTTAAAAAATAAAATAATGTCACGAAGCTCTGGGAGCTAAATTCTTTTGCTGTTTTGGAAGGAGCTGGATATAAAGGCAGGACTGACAAGGCTCTAATTTGTATTTTAAGTTCAAGTTCCACCTCCAATTCGGGTTTTTTTGCTTGAAGCCTAATCTCATTTGTTGTAGTGGAATGGATCATCAAAAAGTCACTCAATCTGCTGCCATTGTCGAAAGGTATTAACCTCCTGAAGTATATAAAGTGAACCTGGCACCCAGGACATGGAGGATGTTTCTCACTTGACTGACAAGTAATCTTATAGCAGTTTGCATATTAAAGGAGTTTGAGCGACGTGGATTTCTGCACACAGCTTCTCGTACTATACCTTCGAACAGCTTCCTTTGGACGCTGTAGGGAACAACATAACGCCCTCAATCTGTTCTTAAGTCTCGAGGTGCACCATGAAGCAGCTGGTATCTGTACATCTACGATGAAACCAACTAAGGTGCTTCAATCACAAGAGAAACATAGCGTCACTTCCGACACTCACAGTATTCCGTTGGTAAAAGTTCGTTGCCCTTGTGTTGCACTCTACCTAGAGCTGCTCAATACTGTTGTTTTATCTTTCTGTATGCCTGCTTCCCCTTGGAATTCTAGGTAGGTCTTTCGAAACATTTGGTAGGTCTAGCAACATTTGCTTCTTAGTAAGTCATAATTGAATACGATATCTACAGCCAGTAATATGTTCTGTTAAGCACGGGCTATGGTACGCCCAGTTCTTACTCAGGTAAGAAATTTTGGGTTCACGGAGAATTTGGATTCGTGGCTTTCCACGTTTACAGATATTCCTCTCTCTTGCATACCGGATAAATTAATTAATAATCTACAAACAGCTATTTCTCTTTGAGGTGAGTACCAGAGTCGGACAAGATCTCAAATTTAGTAAATATCGAAAATGTTACTTCACTTGAGTTGTCCAGGCGAATTGTACAGTTGATCACATATTCTCAACATGCATAGATCAAGAAAACATCATAACCCTGTAAAAGGATATAACTTTCCGCACCAACAGCTTCTCAGTTGAGCTAAGTAATATGTATTCTACAACTTGATCTAAAGATGGTGGGAACCCGAAGCAATCGTAGTTGGCAGTTGTGATGTAGCTATAAAGCCGTCACGATGTAAGTTGTACCCAGCCACCCTCTTCTGCGCGTGTAAATACTCGGGGTTTTCCGTTTGGAAAAGTTTCTCGCCAGTCAGGAGACTTGAGCATGAAGTTGAAAACCCTGTAGCATGACCAAGTCTTATTTTAGTCTCTTCGGTTTCGGACGAGGGCTGAACAGACAAGACGTTAAGTGAAGAAGCTCAACAGATGCAATAGGCTCGAACAAGGACAAGATGAGAGACAGTAAGTTGCCTGTGATCGGCCTGTTAGTTTGATTACTCAGCGAAAAACTCTGCTTTCAAAGCAACAAGAGAAAGACATACCTTCTACAGTTTTCTAGAAAGTCAGGGCCTTCGGCGTATGGTGATGTGGAGAAAGTTTGCAGAAACTCATCATCGTTCAAACTTAGCATATAGCGAGCATATGTTTCGAATACTCTACTCCTGCCAAACACCTCAAATCAGAATGAGTAACGAATCCGGCCTCCAAAAGCTCACGCCGGACATCTGACTTAAAAATATGAATGCGAGACTGCCACGATATAAAGAACGGGCTTGCCACACTACAAGTGAAACTTCAGCGGCATCTGAAAAAATTCTTCTGCCAACTTTTAATAGCAACAGTGAAACTAAATGTTCCACTGAACATTGAAGTCGACAGAGCTGACATGACTAAACAACATCCTTATACAAGCTGGCAACAAGAATGACGACAGGTCTAGTGAGGAGAAAGCTCGATGGCGTGGAACTGAAGATAGTATGATACTGGGATTAGGAAAGTACCATTTGCTCGGTTTGATGATGTATGAGTCGGAATTGGTTTGATATGGTGAGAGCAATGATGTATCCCAACTAGGATCAGACGAGACAGTTGTTGTGCATACCAGCCTAACTGTCGTATCTGGACCTCGAGCTCCTCCCTGAAATTTGGCTGGCCTGACTATTCCTGTCTTAGTCTCCACCTGTAAGAGAAGCGGAGCGGATTGCAGATGTAAACGAAAAGGGCATGGCATTCATGTACATAGACCCCGACGTGGCATGAAAGAACATGAAATTATTTAGGGAAAAGTCATGACTGCAATTATTCACCCTTCCCAAGTTCTCGCAAAAATTGGCCAAGCATGAGATTGTCATCTGAATGTCAAAACATTCAGATGTGAGCATATGTTTATAAATGACTAACGCTGCAATATAAAAGGATAAGGCGGATAGATATCTCACCACCAAACCACGAACAGCTGGACAAGCATATTCATTTGCTCCCATGATGGTGTTGAGCTGAAGTATGCAGAGATATCCTATCTCAAACATGTGTTTAGACTTTTGTAGAGTCTGAACAATCTTCAGTGATAGAGGAAGGGAATAACGAGACTGAAGTTCATCACCTGCCGTTCAGAAACTCCAAAGGATGTAATTGACCCACTATTCATGAGGGGGCTTATACACCAACAGAGGCATTCACAATCAAAAGCAGCAAGATGGACATGTCAACTACTCGAGAATGAAAAAGAGTCACCTTAATACCTTGAGAGTCTCTGAATTCAGACTCGTAAAGATCACGGGTCTCATCATACCCCCCTACTAAATGCACCTGGTTCAAAGAGAAATCAGTTTTCTTTTCATCGAGTCAAGTGTGTACTCGAAGTATTTATGAGCTTGATTGTGAACATTGTATAGCTAATGTGTTTCCCACAAGCTCACGTAAAAGTACGCAACAATTTTTTTTCCGCTCGTCCTGACTTTCTCAACGCCATTATCCAACTATGACATATATGAACATTCATGAACGGAGAAGATACTCTACCTGGAACACAGTGGGGTCCCTCACTCCATGACTGGCGATCACCTGCTCCACTCCTTTCGCTGCATACTCTGCACTATCGAAATGGCCTACGCTGGTCCTGGCAGTCACATCCAGCACTTAAGCCTAAAAATCAGCAAAATATCGCAGATTTCGAAATCTGGCATCAAAAGCTCCAAAAGCGCCTGTCTTTAAAAGTCTGTAAAAGTAAGTCCTTTCGTAGTCCGAAATCCAACTGAGGGCTGGATTTATGGCTCTACGATTCCTGCAAGTCCGAGTGATGCCTTTCAGCCAGCACCCATCTTGGGATTGTATACATCCTAGATTAACCTCGTATCTTGAGGAGAGCAAATTGCTCCTAGACTTTGGTTACTAAAAACTCATCAGGCTTGAACCATCTACTGGTGACGAATCTCGGTTTTGAAGATGCCCATGCATTTGGTCTTGTTGAGTTTTGGATCATTGTGTGATATAGTGTCAGATGATATACAGTGTTGAATGTTAGGGCATAGTGTGGCGACAGCAAAGAATCTAAGCCACTTCAAGTGCGATACGAAGGGGACTGAAACTCGAGGAAAGACACAGAGAGTTAGCTCACATTCCAGTGGCTGGATTCCGGATCGCGAGCCCGATACAAGTCGTCACCTCATCAGTCCCCACCAGCTGCAGTGCCGCAAAGATGACACATGAGCAAGACAGAGAATCAACCAACACCTAATTGAACATGCCGCTCCTGGGGAGTGAATCAAAAGTATGCGAGATTCCACAGCTGGAATGAATGTGGAATGAGCAGCAGAACTGGCAGCAGGTGTGCACGAATCTACCTGGACGGTCGCAGGGTCGACGGTTGCATATTCTTTCTGGAAAACGTACACAAATCTGGAATCTGCAGGATGAGTTTCCTCACTGGGTTCGTCATCAATATTTCCGGAAGGAGTGGGAGGTTGGATGACGACAACTTTAGCTGCCTTCAACTTCTTCGCCGACTCGACCACATGCGGGTGCTCCAAAAGCTTCCTCAGCACATCAGTAGCCTACAACCAATCCAAAACCCCATCATCGCCAACCTCACGATGTCGCGAACAAGCCACTCACCACTCGCACCGAGATCGCTAACTTAAACACTCCAGCCCACTCCAGGCCCCGTAATTCACAACGACAGCAGCAGCAGCAGCATCATCATCAGCCAAACGAAGCTCAAGCGCAAAATTCAAGCCTTCCAGCCTTTCGAGCAATCCGACTTCCACCTCCATCAGTCGCGCCACAGCAAATTTGCCAAAACATTCATCATTCTCAACCACAAGAACACCAACCTTCACTTTGCTTCGCTTATCCACGACGGGCGCTCCGTCGAGGAGGATCATTTTCACCACGCCTGCTCTAATCCGTCCGACCTCTCCCTCTCCCTATCCCTCGCTCTCGCTCTCGGCCTCTTTGCTGCTAACCTTCCTTCTTTCTGCCTTGCCTTAGACACGTCCCTGTCAACGATCTCTGACTTCTGTCGCCTCTTTTCCTTTCCTTTCCTTTCCCTTCCTTTCCTTCCCTAGCCTTTTGGCTGAGAATTCGAGGATGGAGGGAGGGCAGGAAAAGAGCCAGACGCGAGTCGATTGCAAGCACAACTCAAGGCCGCAGTGCCAAGATAAAGGAAACCATATCGGCCTGCGAGACAAAGCGGTTCGGCATTGGGGTCGGGATCGGGGGCGGGGGCGGGGGCGGGAGGACGATCGGAAGGGCCAGGCCGCGAGGCCGTTCGGACACAGGCCAGTTCAAACGTGATGGTCCAATTTGCTGTTTCTTGAGAAGCACTGCTCGTTCTGCGCTCGCTCGCTCAAATCTTGCACCCGAACGTGAGGGCGGGCGATCGATGGATCGATCGAAGTCCCCCGCGCAGGAGGGCACGCACACGTCGCCATATTCCGTGCGGCATAAAATTCTCTCGGTGGCTGCTCGCGGCCACCGCCTGATGGATGCTGCATGGACGGATGTGCGGACGGGGAGGATTGTTTCAGTCTCCGAGCTTGACTCGGCTCGTCTTTGAGCTCTAGGCCAGAAATCGCGCCTTCCCACGGGCCCATGATTCTCGACCGTCGTCAGATCGGGGGAGTATCGTGCTCACGCCCTACAGTCCCAGTGCGAGGCCGGGCTGGGCAAGCATCAAGCGATCTGCACTCGTGCTAGCGATTGCGATGATTTCCTACTGGCTGATGAAGGGCATTGCGGCCATTGCCAACGAGGCGGGTGGATTTTTGCGCATATTTTACAGGCGGCGAGAGAATCAGCCTGCGGAGCAACCTGTGCTGTTGCCAAAACAGTCCGAGCCGAGCTCACCGTGGCGATTGGAGCCCCGGGTGGCTGTCATTAACCACTCGCTGTCGTCGAGATCTCGGTGTCCGAAGGCTCATAGCGCTGTGGCGTTTGTCGTTGCGTCACGATTCTGCAACGCTGCTTCTCCTCGAGCAAATTTGAGCTTTCGAAGACGTTGCAGTCTCTGTCCCCCACCCGCCCACCACCCACCCTCCGTTCCGGTATGTCGACGGCCGGCCGGTAATGTCACCGGACGAATGCATTTCCCTTTCTTTCCGGCGTTCTGGCCATAGATCTTGCAATCTACGGGAATGACTTCGACTCAAAAATCAACGACGATACTTTCTATCATGCATTCCGGTAATAGATTCTGGAATTTACCGTAAGATTCAAGGACTATAAGTTTAGTATAATAATTCGGATAACGATTACAACGTATTGAAAAACTTTCCAAATATCCAGATGTTTCTGATCTTGGTCGATAACAGTAATATTAATTGGTTGGGAGATTGGAAAAAGTGAAATAGATATGATGATTTCAGATGATTCGCTTTGGTCTTTGGACAATAGACATGAGTTTGATTCACGGTGTCGCCCCACATCTGTTGGATTGACTTTTTTGTGCATTTCAAAAACTATTTAGGTTTGATACTGATTGTTACATGTATATTGAAACAAGATGACGACATGAAATATCTTTAGAGACATAAAGGTGATAAAAGATTACGGTTAAGATTACCTTGTACTAGGTTGTTAATATCCAAGAGATATTGTACTGGATCTTATTAAAGATGAAACTTGTATGGAAGCAAAAGCTTTTAACAATGATGTTGAATACGATTTTGCTGACTCAAGCACTGTACGATTAGAATGAAATTGATTTGAAACATGTGTAAATATCAAAACATCATCTATTTTACAAAAAGATATAGTATATCGCCAATAGTCTATTTTCTTGGAATAAAGTTTAGTTTATTTAATGTGATCATTTTAAAATACGGTAATCACATAATGGAAAGTATATCACCTTGAAAGCAAAGCTATAAAGATAATATAGTACTATCAGAAAAAATTTAAGACAAAAAATATTCATTACAATAATTATAAAATGTGTGATACGTTTTGTTATAGAACTCAGAATTTTCATACAAATAATTGTCCGTAAAACATCACATGATTTACAGAGACACATAATTAAATGATATAGAATAGTTGTTAAAATATATACTTTTAAGTAAGAAATTATAAATATGAAAATTTTCGAATGTAGTAATATACAATAGCAATGTAAAACGAATTTGTATGCTCTACGAGAAATTCCAATGCAAAATATCACATCAATTTTTAAAACTGAAAACTTGTAAAAGTTATTTGGATCAAAATTATAATACATATTGACTTGATCAACATTTAAAAATTTATTCAAAGAAATAAATCTTCAATTTATTTTCTACTCTAATGATTGCAACTCAAAATATTTTTAAGTTCATTTTTATTTTATAAAACAAAAAATCAAAATATTTTTAATTTTAATGATTAATTTGCAATTGTGAAAATTGAAACATATGATGATAAATTATATCTTATTTAAGAAAGTCACATCACAACTTGAACAAGAGCACTTTAATCTGTTTTTATTACAAGTGATATTGATTGTGATTATCAAATGTAATCTCTAAATATTTAAAATGATTTTTTAAAAATAGTAACTTATGATGAATTATTTCTCCCTTTTTTTCATGGAGTAAGTCATACACATAAAAAAATAAAAATTGATCATTGTTGATTCCACTGAAACTTATGATCTTTAACAATTTTCATCAATTTTAACAATATCTAAGGAATAGCATTACACATAATATTTTTTATTTATTTCAAGTATAAAATTTTCATAAGAAGTTATATTATTATTGAAAAATAAATTTTGAAAAAAATAACGTATTGGAAATTTATTTTATTTTTATATGCTCAACGTGTGTTAAACATGTAAAAATAAAATAAAATCCGAATAGTTTTAGTTTTGAATTTTCTTTTAAAATACATATGATAAGTTTTTTGATCTATTTTAAGTGTGATTTCCATGCTTATATTAAAATTTAAATAAAAGTAATCATGACTCTATACTCTATACATACTAATATTGAAAATGAAAAAATATTTTATTCAGTACTTAATTATTATACTAAAAAACAAGTTATAATATCACTTGAAGATCATACACAATACCTGAAGATGAAAGATATATAGACTAATTTTTCTCTTATATATATATATATATATATATATATATATACCATACAAAGATATAAAAGTATATCCACATCACTCAATTGTATTCATGAATAGAATGATCACATGACGGATAAATTTGACAAGTAAACAAATTAATATGTGATGTGATACTTATAAAATCTATTATAAATTAAAATGACTCCATTTTTTTAATAATTTTTGTCCAATTGTAATTGATTTAAGATGGTCACAAATATTTTATTTTGTATGATGATTACATATGCAAGAAATGTATTATATAACATTATATTGTAATATCTTTTTATTGTATATAAAAAAATCAATATATATTTACAAAATTACATTTATCATGATATGTTGACCAAATATATTCATTCGGTAAATCTTTGAATGCAATGTTCATCTTTAAGTAATAGAATTTGTCATGATCCGGATTATTTCAGTCTTCATAGATATGCAATACATAAAATACAATATTGCTTTTAGAAATATTTACCATGTTGATCCTGACATAATGAATACATATTTTTTAGAATACTTGGTATTCAAAAAAATAAAAAAATAAAAATTTGTTGCGAATTATTTATTTTTTATATGTGTATATTCAAAATAATAAAATAAAAATTACATGTAACATAAACAATTAGTTGTGCAAAACAGTTGATTACATGGACCTAAAAGTAAATTATAATATCAAGTAGAGTACTTTTGAGTTTTATTTGATAAATTGTTTTTTAACACAGCAATCCATTGAAAATATGATCAAATCATGATTTTCCAGAAGTAATTTTACAAAAAGGGTATGAGTTTATATGAAGATTAGAAAGCATAGTGAATAATGTTTAAAACTGATAAATTTTATGTAAATTTTTTTTCGTAAGCTTACAAATGCAACAGAAATAGAATAAATATATACAAAAAAATTAATGAAATGTTGATAAATTAAATTAATTTTTTTATTAAATTAAATGATAAAATTTGATGATATGAAAAGTACAGAAAATTATAAAGATTGAAGAATGAACATTTTGATTTTTATATTTCAAAAAAAAATTGAGAAATTTTTTTTAAAAAAATCTATGTAAAAATTGAAGTTTTTTTTGTGCATTTATATTTTAAGCTAGAAAAATAATTTCTATCATGTACTTCAAAAATACATGATGAAAACATGCTTATTTGGTTTGATATAACAAATTTATAGGAAAGAGCGTGTATTTTTTTAGTAAAAAATGATTGAAATCCTAACCATATTTAATATTATATTTAATATTAAAGCTAAAGAGATATATATGTGAATTTTAAAAAATAAACATAGAAATATTGATTGTAGATTGCTAAAATGTAAAATTCAAGGTGATGAAATGTCAAACTTGAACAAATCAAAAAAATATTTGTTGCATTTAACGCTCTTATTCAATAAAAGCAATATAAAAAGAACACATGTTGGTCTTTAGTGACAAAATGATAGAATAATGTATATTTAACTTTGAAATAAGATAAAATTATTAAAAAAATATTTATAATAATTCTTTTTTTACATTATACTCATCTCAGCAAAAACCAACAAAATATTTCATTAGTATTTCTTAACATTTAAATAGAATTAATCGAAATTCATTATGATGATTACAATTGATTAATATTTTTTTATTAATTGAATATTGAAGGAAAAAAATAAAGCAAATATTTTTTAACTTCAGATAATAAATATTTATGTTGGGTATAATTTTCATCCCATGTTTGATGTGTATTTTATAACTTTTTTAATATATAGAACATCAATTACAAAAAAAATAATATAATACTAGTCATAGAAGATATAAAATATAAAATGTAAAATATTATATATATATACTTATATATATTGAAGTGTATTTTTTTCAATTTACGATTTTAATGAGTATTTTGATAGATGTTTCAAATTTGTATGGATCAAATTTTATATATGTATATATATATATATATAAAATACAGAAATACGTATATACCTTAATAATTTGGCACTCTTATTGGAAATCAAAAATAATCAATTGTCTCAATAAATTTTATCTTTAGGATGATCCAGGTTTACTTTTTTTATAATCTCAAGAGTTTATTATTTTATTTTTATAAAAACATCATCTTGTACTTTGCTCAAGCAAAACATTTTTCAGGTTAAATCGTTTTTATATTCATATCGATAACCGAAACATTCACTGTATATATTCTTATTCTGTAGATCTGATAAATTGCCTATACCAATATTTTCAAACTTCAAGATGAAATTTATCACATACAGGTCAACCAAACAATCATGTGGTTGAATCCAGTATAGTTTATCATTTTCAAGTGTGCTAGCGTGTGTCATATTGATCTTCAACAACATATTTATCATTTAGTAATACATAATTTTACAACATAAGTTAACATTCTCTTACAGAACGCATTTTGTGATGCCCTTGTAGGTAAGATTGACATGAGATGATTGTTGAAATTCTTGGGCAAGGATGAAGATGTATTTTTGATTAGATTAAAATTTTGATTTCAAGGAATTTTGTTTTTCCATTCTTTGGACATTTTGTTATAATCTAGTTAATGGATTTTACCTTATTGTTTTTTTACTTTCTTCTCGTTATGAGACGTGGCTTTCTGAACTTTATTGCAGTTAACCACGGGCATTTTCTTATTAATCAGGAGGGATATCAATCTTCTTTGTGGAGGGCCGTTTGACCACATTCATCGTAAGTCCTGGGTTTTTGAAGCTTTCTAACTTTTATCCAGAAAATGAGATGTCTTGTAACGAGATCATAATTTTTAAAAAAAACTCAAGGAAAGGTCATATCAAGCAGTAATTGGACGGAACCAAAGTAATAGCAACGATATGATAAATCCAAGAGGGGAATCAACAGAAGTAACTATGTACCATTGTAAGTAAGACATCAGTAATAGCATGGATATAACAACCCCAAAATGGAATCAACAAAGGTAACAATGTACAATCGCAAGTAAGACATCAGTAATAGCATGGACATAATGACCCCAAGATGGAATTAACAAAGTAACTATGTACAATCGCAAGTAAGACATCAGTAATAGCATGGACATAATGACCCCAAGATGGAATTAACAAAGTAACTATGTACAATCGCAAGTAAGACATCAGTAATAGCATGGACATAATGACCCCAAGATGGAATTAACAAAGTAACTATGTACAATCGCAAGTAAGACATCAGTAATAGCATGGACATAATAACCCCAAGATGGAATTAACAAAGTAACTATGAACAATTGTATGTAAGACAAAGGAGCTATGTAAGTCAAATCTTCTTCTATTTATAATGGGAGATTGCTCTTCCATGAAATAGTTCGTTGTAGCTGTAAATAAACGTATACACTTTGCCTCAAAAAGTTAGTTAAATAACAGATAAAGAATGCTGGTAACCACGCTTGCTTAGTACCATGGTAGTTGGTGCATAGTAGAGACACGACGTGAAGTATGTATGAACCCAGTGAGAGTTAGAGCAGCTGCACGATAACCCACACGAGCACTAACCGTCTCCGAGGGTCGAGTTCCGTGCTCCACAGTGAGTCAAGGTGAGGGATCGAGTGAAAAACGCTCCGATGACGACTCCAAGTGGACTGCGCAGTTGTCAGAGACACGTCATGCGGATAAGCCAGCCGTCAAACGGGCCGAAGGACTTGACGATGGAGGAGAAAGTGGACCGCCACGGTGCCAAGGTGGCGGAGAGGCCGTTGTCAGCTTTGGTGTGGCGATTTCGAGCACGTTTCGTTCTGTCGCTCCGAGATTCTTTTCAGTGGGTGTACATTTGCTTCGGGCTCCCTGGCGCTCGGGGATTGATCGCAGGAGTCAGTGCAACGCTGGGATTTTGATTCTCCGAGTGGGCGAAACCAGCTTACATTGAGCTCAGTCTGGTCGAATCGCCGATTTCTTCTGAATTTCGACGAGAAATTACTCGCTTTCATCGATCCTTCTCCATTGCAGCTGCCACGAGGTGTGCGCATACTCTCCAGAGTGTTAGAACCTGAAGACCGAGAAGCGATTGTTGATCGGAACGGGAAGCGGTCGATTGAATTCAGTCATCGGTCGCTCCGAGAGACGGCAGTGCAGAGACGGGGTGATTTGGCACCGATCACAGGGTCCATGGACAATATGCGCGTGGCAATCTCAGCATTCGGCAAGCTCCTATCCGCTCAAATAACAGTGTCCGAATTCGTCAGCACGTGCTACACGGATGGGGTGCCTGCGGATCTCACGGGCGATTTGAAGCCCGCTCTTGAGTATGGGTCGAAAGGAGCGTCCGACGCTTCCGAGCTCCTCTACTCGGACGATTCTCTGACCTCCATCGAACGATGGCAACAAAATCAGGGCCTGGGGCTCGTTTCGGCTCGAAAGAGCGAGGAAGCGATCGAAACCTTCAAGGTCTTGTACCCACCTTTTTGGTAACGCGCCAAGGGCGAGGGAGGGAGGGAGGGAGGGAGGGAGGGAGGGCGTTGTCTGAGTCGTGCTGTCAGAGGACGAAGATGAGAGGCGAGTATAGAAACTAGTACGTTGCGAGTACTATGAGTTCGGGGTTTATAACCGAGCTTTATGATTACAATGTGAGATACAGGCGCAGCAGCTTCGTCGAACACGAGGACTGGCTGCTGCTTCTGTCCTCTGTATATTATTGTTCAGCACCGAGGAGCCATCTTTGGGAGTTGCGCAAGATTGTACAATGCTCGGCAGGGTGGAACGGATGTTCGTAGCCATCGAGCAGAATTCTAGCATAGGAATTGGATGGTACATATGTTCGTGTAAATAGAATTTGAGCAACGTCAGCTCATACTTGTAAATTTTCGGCATATTGGAGCCACTTGACAGTTATAAAAGCTTTGAGCGTGATTGATTATGCACCATATGTTTTGTCTGCGTATCCAACTTTTCTATCTGTACATGCATCAGGCCGACGAGTACTGATCCCTACCATGTTCACTATTGGACCGAGTCATCAGAGTTACATTGCGCATGCGTTTCCACTTTGGTATTTGCTTGATTGTGGACGAAATCTATCAGATACGGCGATGAGAGGACAGGAAATCGACTTCACCTAAAAACCTGCCGGGAGGTGAAACTGGCAAAAGTCAAGGCTAGTGAGCTCAGACTGATGGGTCTTGGTGCTATGCCCAATCAGTCTTGTAGCATACCATAGTGGTGTAAGTTTCGACAGAATTTAGGTAAATTGTGGTAGGAGAAATTGAGGCTTACGAGAGTAATTTATCATTAATCTAGTCAGGGCCAGGAGAATAGACCAGACCATCTGGACCACTGCCTCCTTCATGAGCTGAAGCAGTTTCTTCACTTTGATCAGGGAAGGACCGTTCAGTCTATCTCATTTTTGACTTCTAGCCTCAAAGAGAGACCAGCTCTAAAGCTACAATGGCTCGAGAAGAAATTAGTGAACTGTTTCTGTCAAGTACTTCGAACTGCATCTAAGATATCGATTCAGGATTCTTAGATCCTACTACTCGAGATGTGCCCGTTCTCCGTGTGCAGTTCCCTATCGCATCCAGCCAAATTTTGGTCTTCAGTTCCTGCGGTTTATCAATCAAGAGCTAAATTCTGAGGCAACCAGCCAGCTTTGCCAACAACGATCGAACTCCGGATCCTGTGATGATGATGCCCAATAGACTTGAAAGATTGTGTACTTAAATTTGAAAAATCAGACTACAAATGATGATTAATCATTCAGCAAAGGGATTAGAGTTCTATTGGAGCAAGAAATCTTCGACAACTGTCGTGAACTACATCCTCTTCACCTTGGAATGTAGCAGAGTCAGATCTATCACGGGCTTATCGAAGATTCCCTGACCAAGTTGTATTCATAGCGTGAATTTAAATCCATATTCAATTTTCGTACACACGGAGAGGCGCAAAATGTAAGCAGTTCCTCTGCAGTGTCATCTTCACATGCAGCATCTTATAAATGCTGAACACTGGGCAGGAGCCTCGTTTCTCGTGAAAGATGTACTTGCTGAGAGTGGAAAGAAGACCATGATTCAAGCAGAACCTTGAAAAAAAATTGCCTACAAAAAACCGCCTTCTGCATACTGCTTCAGATAAGGGACTGGTAATTTTTGGGGCTTTCATTTGCTTGTACATTCAATGTAAGAATCATGTCTTGATCACGTTCTGCTTTCGAGACAACGAAGTTTTCTTGGTTTTGAGAGAGCGGTTGATGTCTTGGGCTCTGATATAGCCCAGAGTCTAGGCCTTGGAACGGTTATAGCTCCCAAAGATGTTACGTTCTCAGAAAGCATCAAGTTTCTAATGTGTGACCACAGATGAAGAGGTGACTAAAGAGTCAGTATTCCAGTTTGCACGTACCTTCAATACTCTTTGAGTTCTCACTACCTTCAATGCTGGTTCCCGACCATGCCGCGTATTCTCGCTTAAGGACATGTCTGGAATGGAAGAATTTTAGAGATGAGCTTCTGATTTATCCATTTAAACTCATAAGTTTAGAGACCGTGGCAGTTGCTTTCAAAATAGAAACTTCCACTCCACCGTCAGAGCATGTCCGAACCATCCATAAGTACCCAATCACAACCTTCTTCAGTGAATATGATCTGATCTGATCTGATCCAGTACGAACAACACGCTAGCCCATGACATGTTTCCTTAGTTGTAGAGGAAATCTTGGACTTCAAGGTCAGGGTTTTGGCCACCTCGTCCAGAATGGCACAACCTCCCGTGATGACACACGATAACACATCGTTCTTTATCGGATCCTGTGTCCTTAATTGCTTTGTTGAGGATGGGAAGGGTGTTTCTCGAAATCAGTCCATGAATGCCTTCAGCAAGAGCAATTTCAGGCAACTTTTTTCAACATTTTTCAGGCAATCTCAGAGCAAATTCACCCTCGAACAGAGTCTTTTGACTGGTGCTGTCATTGTTGAAAAAGAATCCTGGTTGTTCACTTTACGAGTACGCTGTGAGGAAAGTAGCTTTGCCAATGGCAATTGCTGTCACCTGTCCATCAGCTCATTAATGTTTGCAAGCAGTGGTTATTTGCAGTTATTATTTGCTGGCCATTTCTGGACTTTCGGACACTCTCGCAAAAGCTTGGATCCAATACTTGCTGGACACTGAGATCCCAATTTCTGGTTTTCTCCGTTGGAATCTGAAGAGCGGATTACACTGCACACCAATACCCACCAGAATGGCCAGCAAATTGGACGGTGCTGCTTTAATGTCTGAGCTGCTGCGCATAAATACCAAGTGATTGCATGATTGACAGGGCACCTGCAAGATCCGTGTCATACATGCGGAGGAAGACCACCGAGTCAAAGAGCGGGGACCGATCAGAATATTATATCTGCATGAGACTCTGGGTAATGAATGTAGCGGCGGGTAACGACAGCATGGTCGTTACACATTCGTTCAGATATTTACCGAACAGTGTGCCATAATTTCAACGTGGCCTATGACTTCCTTCTTTGTTTGCTTTGTCATTGCCAGGGTCGAAAAATTTCTCAACCCCGAAATGTGAGCTCCTTTCGTATTCGCTGGGGTTTCTTTACTCACCCACTACCTTACCGGTTTGCACTTCTCTATATATTGTCTTTGGACAATTGTGATCATCGATCATAGTGAGGTTTACTGTTGTCCGAGGAGTGGCTGCGAATACATATTTTACTTTATTTTCTTTATGTAGTCTTTACCATTCAGATTTAAATATTTGAATCTAACACCTACATATCAATATTGTAATTATGAAATTTTCATGTTTATTTATTGTAATAGATTTTTTGTTTTTATAAAAATAATGAAAAGCTTTGTTACTTGAAAGGCATAACCTTCCTAACATGACATGCGATGAAGGTATAAATTTCTCGTCAACTTCGTTATAAGTAAAGGAATATGATGTTCTACTCTTGTTAATATCAGTTGTACCTGTTCTTTCGGAATGAAAATTATTTTCAATATTTTCACTTCGAGTGTCACTAATTGTAATTTTGGAACTTTGAATGTTATTATGAGTTTTGTGTGAATTGCGGTCACCAACATAAGAGTGTAATGAATGAGTGGTGAAGATGCTACCGTATTTTCTTTTACTTGATGATAAGGTTTAATGTTACTGACATGACATGTGATGAAGGTATAAACTTCTTTTCAACTTAGTAAAATTAAAAAGTTTTGGAATATGATATTTCACTCTTGTTAATATCAGTTGTACCTATTCTTTCAGTATCAAAATTATTTTTAGTTTTTCCATTTCGAGTGTCACTAACTGTAATTTTGGAGCTACGAATGTATTATGAATCTTGTGTGAGTTGCAATATTCAACATAAGACTCGAATGAATGGTGAGAATGAGATTGTATATCCTAATACTTATTGATAATATCTACTTCAAGAAGACCATGAACTTTCTAGGTATCTTTCAAAGTTGTGTTTCATATGTTTTCTAAAGTGAATTTATTCTCTTAATATCTAATCTTACATAAATTTAAACAAATTTTTTTTGATTAAACTTGACTAAAGTAATATAAAAAAATGGTACATGATAAGAATTATGCAATATTTTAGCCTCACATACAAATCATTGCTAGTTTGTGATTGATCTTAATGAGAAAATTTATTTTATTGTTTTGATTTTTGCATTTGTACATTGTAGAAGAGTTAATATTAGAGATCTTCATCATAGAAACTATTATGTCTTGTCATATTTCAATATACGATCCCAAAGTCAACCATTACTTTGCTAGTTATGAAATATGAACAATTGATGCCTTTAAAAGATGATTTTCACAAAACTTATCCTTCTTCTGGGTTTTAGAAAATTATCCATATGATTGTATCACCTGTAAAAGCAATTTTTTTCCATAAATGAGAATGTTAGATGAAGATGTCTAGTATTATGGAATGTATACATTCATGGGCCATTACATGAGTTTTGAACATGTTGCATCTTTGATTGTCTGACTTTATTTCAAAATCATTTTTTGATTTTTCAAAAAAAATAATATATTGGCCATATCAGTTTAGAGTTAATACAAAAGTAGCTAGTGATAAGTGTGTGATGCGTTGAAATTTTATACGAAATCTTTACAATTCTTTGAGAATTGAAAATGTAAGATAATTTAGCATGATGTTTTATTTTATTCTATCAACATGATTTTACAAAAAGAATCTAAGCTTTATATTTTTCTAGTACTAGATATGGAGACCATTTGACAGTACATTTATTCGTCATGATTCATGAAAGATATCTCCTTTATTGCTTTGATTTTGAAGTGTTTTTCTCTTAAATTCTCAACAATTGATAAACATACTCCAAATCATGTTTACCATGTTAGACGTGACTTTGAACACTCGAAAATCAAACTCCATTTCAATAATTGAAAGTAGAGACATCTAATTTCATTATCTTACCTAGACAGAGATGACACTAAAGAATGATCATCTATTCAAGAGTTCTAGCAAACACAAAGATGTAGATTTCTACACATGATTTGTTTGATCATATGCAAGCAAATATGAAGATTTCCTCCCATGCTACTTGGACACAATTCTTAACATCTCTTGATATTCTTACTCTAAGCTATTTATATATGATGATGCATGTTTTTTCCCTCAATTCTGCTTCTGGTTACAATTAAGTACTATTTATAGTTCTTCTTATATCTGCATTCCTATTCCTATCATACTTAATAGCCTTTGCTAAAAAGTATCTTGTACATCTTTGAATGATTCATATACAATAGATACATGATATGTATGATCAGAAACTTGGCAAGGATGCACATATTTTGTCAATATTCAATACCTATCAGACATGTAACATTGATACATGGTTTAAAACACTTAACATCTCTGCAATCCTTCCACTCCATGTTGTAGACAGATCCATCCCTTATATGTACACCAAGGATTTGGAGGAATAAAATAAACAAATTAAGATCAAGAAGGATATTCGAGTACCTTACATCAAGTGGCTGAGTCAAGAAAGATATTCCGCTCATGTGTGGCGAGTTCTTTGGGTTTGGTGCCATCTAAGACCGTCATCGAAAAAATTCGCAGTGACCTACAACACTACGAAATACATGTTTAGCTTATCAAAAGTGCATAACAGTTTCTAGCCCATGTATTGATGGTCGATGCACCGTGCCATGAAGACATCTAAGAAAACAAGGCATCTAAGAAAATCCTAATGGATTATCAGAAACTAGTGGACTTTATATTCCCAAAGTGTTTGTAACTTTTTCGTATAATCATCTGATGAAAGCATGATACTGTCTCTTGATAGCTTCGATGTCAACATTCGCTCTCGCGATCAACAATTTCACAAGTTTAGAAGCAAGCTGCATCAGTCCGATAGGAAGACTGGAATTAACCGCTTCTTCGGCTCTCAAGTTGGGACTGATGGAGCGTATGCTTCAGTGGTCATCTCGCCATTTGTGCCCACAATTCGGGTTGCAACACACGAAGTACAAGGTCATGCCATCATTTCTTGAGTTTGAATTTAACTGAACAGCGGAACACGCTCATTATCAATACAGAGACTAAAGAAGAACTCAATTTTTGAGAGGAAAACATCGAGCCAAAACAAGTCAATTGAGATGTTCAATATCAAGAAAGAAGAAATTTAAAACAATTGAAGAAGGTTGGGCCTGAATGAACGAATGTCTATAAACATCAACAGGAGCAGTCACTTCAAGAAATATCTCACTGCGCTCAATGTCATTGTTCATTCGAAAGGAAGTGGAGATACCTGAAAAAATACGGCCTCCCCATGGTCGCAACTGGGGCAGCGCACTGACTTCGTCCGAGGAAGAGTCGGATCGGAAGCAACCTCCTGGAGATACTGTGAGCGCTCCATAGTACCGTGGGAATATACTTGTCTATAGACGCAGTTGTGAGTTGCTTTCTCCTGGAAAATAACTTTTCTTTCAGTACGTTTCTCATGCTCAAATCGCGTATATACTTGTGCTTATTAATTAGTTCTTTTCGTCGGTGACGAAGGAAAATTAAGTCTCTTGCAGGACAATGAAATGGGGAGAAGGAACAAGTTCATGACCTCATGTTCACAGTTTCGACAGGCATAAAGCAGTGTCTTCCTCTCAATATCCTCTCTGGGATAAAGAATGTTATTGCTGTCCCGGACATACATGCATGCATCACGAACATACAAAAAAGGGTAATCAGAAGAAACTATTACAGCGTTCTTTAAAAACAACGAACATCACGTCAGCGAATCACGTACTTCGCTGATTCTAAATTCGTCAATTCGTTGACTCTGCAGCAAGGAGATTCCAAATGATCATCACAATCGAAAAGAGCAGTGGAGTACGATGGAAAGCATTGGATTCTTCATCCTTGAAACTTACCACTCGGGGCAAAACTTCATGGAACTCATGGCCGAATGCAAGGCAAGAGATGGATATGAGGGAGGCCAGAGACTCCAGATGTCAAGTTCTTTGCTTAAGCCGAAAGCTCCGAGGCCACCAGCAACCCCCTTCGCTCTCTTTCAATCCTACTCTGGCAACAAAAGTGACGGGAATACATAAAGCGTTGGGCTCGACTCGATGTGTTTATTGCCCGCTCTTCGTCAATCACATAGTTCTCCGCGAACCGTCGAATCTTGTGGTACAAACTCGAATTTTGAAACGAAGCAGACTTTCAGTTGGCGCTCACCTTCTCGTAACGTGTAAGCAGCGAGCTGATTATTGCACAACATATTACAGAAGGGTACTTTTAAAAAGCTGCGGAAGTGAGCAAACCGAAGCCTCTAGATGACTAGTCGATCCAGATAAATGTGGCTACGCGCACACATGAGAGGCTTTGACTTGATGTCAAAATTACTATAAAAGCTCGACTCTGCGTTTCCTTTTGGGCCTTGTCCTTTTGTTAGTATTCGATGGGGTGGTCTTCCCGTACATTTTGCTGTTGTTTAGATTGCGCTGTTCAATAATACATCTCTATCCGTTCCGATGGGGAGAGATTTCATTATAATGATTTATTTTGATGAATCATTATAATGAAAGGCGCAAGTGGGAGATGGAAGGGCATTAGGAAGGTCAAATTGGGGATGATTATTGTAACGTGGCGTACAATAATTACTTGTTTGTCTCGGTGACTGCGAATTAAACCAACCGGTCTAGGTAATTTTGTACCTCGATAGCGTGGCAGAGATAACGTACTGCGTTAGAGCCGGATTTGATAGTATTCGATAGCACCTTCCTTGCAGGGGATGGAATGCCTGTAAGAGCTGTACTTTTCCAGGTTAGATCATGCTCTAGCACATAGAATTAATTATTACCTACTTTACTCATGAGAATCGATCACCGCAGAACAGAATCTACCGAAAGCATTTGGAACGAAACCTCGTCATGCAGAAGAGTTTAGTAAATTTCGGGTAATTTATTTCGTCTTATTAACAGAGCAGAAGGGGTTCAAAGACATTTGGGATTCATAATGACTGTCTGCGAGAACGATGACATGTCATAGGTTCCGTGTTCTAGAGAAGCCCGTATTGAGGTTAACTCCGAAATTTGCAATGAACGCTTTTCTGACACTAATTCCGATTTGTTCTCGAGGCTCTTCTTAGATCCGCTGCATCCGTACCAAGCCATTCTGGAAACGGTGAGATTCCTTCCTCCTACGTTCAGTGGTTTGTGTGAATTATATTATTAAATATGTTTATGAAGAAGCCAAATTGACACCAGCCCTGCTCTGCAATGCCATGAGGATAACAGCCCGGCCAATACCTTAATGGATATGTTCAAGAAGTGATGAAACAGAATTCACGTCTTCAGCCATTTCTCGAATCTACCGTTTTGGAGCTTTGTCTAGGCTACAATTTCTTTGTCTTCTAATATTGCAGCTGACCGTATCGAGTTCTGGCATGAGGGTTTGTACTGCCTGCATGCCTGTTTTGGCTTGTACGCATGGAAAATAGAAGAATCCAAAACGAATGTGATGTAGAAAGTTCCTGATGATCACAGCCTGATCTTAGCCCAAACCTCGACAACCTCCTAATCTGTTATCTCATCTGCATGGCAAAGCAGTGTGCATACTGAGTGAAAGTTGATCATGAGATCTTGCGTCGATTCATTCGTTCAATTTTATGTGATGTCACCCTGTCAAAATTTAAAGTCCGCCTTGAAGCGAGACTTGCAATGCTGCATCGGTTCAGAATTTAAAAGGGTGATCTGAAAAAACAAATCTCAAACTGTTTTCACTGTCGTTGCGTAATGGATGGATCTGTGAACTGTGACTGTATGCTCCATGTCATCGAGATTTTTCTCAAATTATCATGCGCTCTTGTACATTGCAGGAGCAAATGATGCCCATGGACTCTCTCTTGATCAGAGATCACATGTACCTCGGGCAGGAATTGCTTGTGATGTCCTAATCCGTGAATTCCCACACGACTGATCTGCAGCAAATATACACCGAGCGATACATTTGCACCTAATTTCTTCAGAGCAGGCGGCCAGGCTCGTCGAGAGATGGTTTCAGATACTGAACTCGCCTGCTAGTATCAGCTTCTCTCCTAAGTCGGTTTCGAATGTTGCTTACTTGCACGTATGCTACAATCTACTCATCAAACTTGCAGCAGTGTTATGGCAAGCGCGCATCTTCGAGGATGAAGAACTGCGATTGAACCACACCCGCTGTTCAAAACCACTGATGCCGGGGTCTGAACTCCGGCTCTTTCGTTGCAAATGCCTTGCCTTTCTCTGTCGGAGTGAGCAGCGTTATATGCATTACATGCATATGCGTGGTCTTGATTAGTGTCCTACTGAAATCTCCAGGTCCCCTTTCTTAAGCATGCGTGTTTTTGGCGGGATTCAATCATCTCTAGATCACCTATGAGTGTGTGATCCGTAACTGACATGAATTGTCGGGCTCGTCAATTGTACCACAAAATCTCAAATACTAAAATCGATCTTTGTCTCTGCCTGTATGACATGAGCCTGACACAAATGTAATCTACGCTACAATCACCGAAAGCTACAAGCTCACGAATGTAGATGGTGGATAATTTTAATATACATTTGGTCCACTTTTCTTTGAGAAGAACATATAGACCAGGAATCCTGCGGCAGGTTCTTCGGGCAAATGACAACTGAGGGAGCTGTAGCATAGCCCTCTATAAACTTCTTCACGCCAGTCCTGCTCCTCCTTCTGCCCCTCTCATCAGATTGCTGGTGCTATGTAGAATCGGATCGGGCTCTCTCTAGATTTGTTAATATCGAAGAACGACCTTAGTTTTATAAGACTTTGCCAGATTCATGGGCCTCTTTATTGTGAATAAATGATCTGAAACGAGAAGCAGGAATCCGAATTCATCGACAGACTTCACTGATGATGATACAGGCGTCTTCAACCGAGTCCCGACGTGTTGCATATTGTTTTAATATGCCTCGTCTTGATCAGGCCTGGTCTTATCATCCTTCCGTTAAGCTCTCTGATGATATATGGCTTACACTATATCCACAGAGCCTTCATGCAGAGATTTACATCCTGGAACATACAAAGTTGTTAAATCAGTTAATTCCAGAAATAGCAATGGTCACCGTGTATCGATTACTTTTTTTTGGCCGAGAGGTGTTCATCCCTTGCTTCACAAAGATTTGAGGGACAACTTTGGTGAACCTGGAACTCACCACTTTTTCTTCATCGGACAAACACTTTCCACTACTAGCGCTCTCAGCAGCCGTTGCTTCTGGCTAGATTAAGCTTCATTGGTCCGTCGAGCCCGATAATAATTCGGATCCAAGCTCTAATAATCTCTTTGCGCTCCTCCGAAGCATGACATCATTGTTGCGAGCCGGATCACAATGAAGTTCTGCAGGTCTAGATCCCTGAAATGGCATAGGCACATTGCTCTTGCGAACGGACTCATGCAAGTTAGAAAGATCAAAGCTCTAACCGGACAGTGAAGGCAAGCCCGCTATCATTTTGGAGAATCTTGTTTGAGACGAACTTTGGAGCCCTTTGGGGAGAAAACATAGCTCCAGGGGCTAGACACTGGAATCTTTGAAATTTGGTTATAATGAACGGTTTTGGGACTTTTGGGACAGTTTTAGGATTTTTTTATTATGAAAACTCATTCACAATTTGTGTTCTGCGTATGCCACCAGCTAAAGAAAATGATGAAAAATGGATTTGTTATTGTAGGGAAGCATAGAGTTTAATCACTTTGGCAGGCCAGTAAAGAATATAAAAAAAACTATTCACTTTATGATAGAGTAACTATTATCCAACATGCGCCAAATTCGTGAGAGATACACAACGGGTGTCATCATGAACCGGAATACATCCTAATCATCTGTCAAGTTAATAATATTTAGAAATATCAACAGAGAATATCTCTTGTGGCCACAAGATTCATGGGGTTCAAGCTCAGGTTTTGGGCCACCTCGTCCATGATGGCACGACCTCCATGGTGCACACACGAGAACAGAAAATTTTCCAGCTTGGAAGTCGTGCGACCTTTATTGCTTTATTGAGGATGGGAAGCAGATAAGCACAGCAACACCTTGTAGCAAATGGATATCATCAGCCTTGAGCTGAGTCTTGCGACTGGTGTTCGAATATTGAAAGAGAAGTCTGGGTTCTCGTTTTAGATACGCTGAAGGGGCAGTAGCTTTACCAATGGCAAGTTCTGTTGCCAGTCCATCAGCCCTCTGATGTTTATAAGCCGTAGCATTGACATTGCTGTCCATATTTGCACTTTCAGACTCTGTCAATGGATTGGAAACCTTGGATCTAATGCACACTGGAGACTAATTTCTTGCATCCATTTTCTGGTTTTACTCTGTCGTAAACCTTCGACAAATCCGAGGATACAATGAGAATGTGTCGAGCCGTTCAGCTAAACGATGGTCATATAAGGAAGACAGTGTAAATCGGTATCGTCAGAATTATATTACATTGTATTCAAAATAAGTTACATTATCCATAAAAGAATTAAGTTGACTAACTGAGTCGCTAGCTCTCTGTCCCTATGGATCGCCTCTAATACTTCTCGTCAATGTGAAGCTAAATTAGACTTTTCAGCCTCTGGTTGACATCTATACCATCTCGAATTTCGAGTGACTACCTACCTATTTCAAATATACTGGTCATGAATAGAAGTTCTGGCTTCAAACAAATGTACCTATGTAATTCAGAGAACCCGAGTTTATTGCTAGGCAAAATTTTGCACTCTTGCCTACCAAAGTTTGCTAGACTCTGACCTTTCACAGAATAGAAAAGATTCTGGATGGACGTGAGCTCTAAGGGATTGAAAATTCACCTATTCATTGGGTGATCTTACTTCTAAAGTTATGAAATTATGCTGCAGCGGACACTAATGACAGTGATGTTATGACCGAGAAGATAAAGACCATAAATTCTGACCTGTATATTGGAACAGCAGCACTCGGACTGCTGGATGAAATAACACTGGGAAGGCAGACGACAACACACGAAGGGTAAATGTCAGAAGCATAGTAGTAGGTGTTGGTATAGTACAGCTCGCCGTTCAAAAACTTCGAATGTACAAGGCTCCGCAGCTCATGGAAGCACTGTTTTACGACGTCGGTGCTGTTTAGCATGACAGGGTCGTAGTAACCGTAGAGACTGCAGGTTTCCGAAGGATCAGCTTGATTTGATGGCTGCCAGACGATATCAATTCCAGTTTTGGCCTCGTATCTCACGTAATTTTGGAGATCAAGGTCTGCATCAAAGATATCTGCCCGTATGCTGATCGTCAAGAATCCTATTAGGAATAGGAGAAACAATGCACGGCTACTAAGTCTTCTACTTGCCATCTAAATGAAGAGGTATCTGGCTGGATTTCGAATCTCCTTGCAACAAGTCTCGTTCTTGTCAAGAATCGATTGAGCTGCTTTCGTCGAGAATGTTGTAGTACTTGAGAACTGAATTCATAGAGCTCGGGAGGATCCTTGCGGTTTCCTGCAGTAAGAGCCCAATAAATGATATCACATGAGAAGGGAATTTTCCATTCATGAAATTAAGAGGTCTTCGTAACGATCCCTTAACGTTGCTGTCTTGCAGTCTTGCATTCTCATGCTCGTACCCAAGAGATTGCCCCATTGCATCCTAGTTTTTTACAGAAAATGGTAGTTCCTGGATACTGCATGAAGAACTTGTGGGTTTTTACGGTTCAAGTCGAGTGTACTTACCTCATCACCTAAAATTTGCAACGAGCAAGTGGGTTGACACTGGTTTTGGAGATCAACTCAAGAACTGGAGGACTCAGCTGGATTCTGTAAGATTAGGAAATGTCAGTTGCATTGCAGACACAAGGCGACATTCAAGGCCTCAGATTGTCCTTAAAGCTAAAATTCAGAGAATGATGCAGACAAGCAAGAGGATTCTGAGTCTAAAATGCTACTGAACTTTTTGGACTTGCTGCAATCTCTTGCTACTGTCATGAAGTATACGGCAGTTGCTTGCAATGTTTTTCCAACGTGTCAGACTGCCTTATATGCTCATTCAAGAAGATCACAGGGTCTATCGATTTTAGAATTTACCTCGTTGGAATCTTTCCCGTATGCAAATTTTGATCAGGGATATCTCAGAGACATCGATAAAGTGCAGTTGGAGCAGCTACCACGACGGAAGATGTAAGAGAAGTTCCGGTTGTTAGAGTTGGAGTGATCATACAGACTCGCAAGACATTTCAGTGGTCATACATATCTGCATCCTGTAACTCAATTTTGCACTCACGACTTCAAAGCAGGATAGTTCAATCTTAGACTCAGAGGAAGACACTTTGATACAAAGTGGTGAAATGGAGGCACCAGTCCAATTTTGTTCACAAAGGTGATGGTCCTGGAGAGCGGCATTTCTTTCGTGAGACTCAGGTGTAGCTCCATGAGTATCTCGAGCTGCGGTAATCGGGAACATTGTCTGCCCAGTGCCATTGCCGTCTCTGTTTGATCACAGTGACCTATCATCCCTTCCTCATGGTAAAAAATCCGTGCACTATTGCAGATTTCTTGGCTCTCCTTCCTTGGTTGGACCTTGAAAAATATAATTTAATATCCTTCCACGCTTTCTGATCATGGTTTCATTGATGTTCATGCCGTTCTGAAGTTGCGTTCAACGTTTTGGGTTCGAACAATTAATTCTAATCATGGTTACCATAAGCCTAACTGACATATTGTCTTCGTTATGGTTGCTAAGCACAAATAGACTGCATGACTTGTCTCGTAAGTCTCCTCTCCAGAGCAAGGAAGCCTCTGTGTCCAGCTAAAGTTCATGTGAATGTGACAGATCTTGCTAGCTTGGAACCATACGATATTATTCACCAGGTGTGAATGCAACATACAACGAACGAATTCTTCTCCACATAAGTTAATGAAAGACACCGCTGAACCCGTGCCGATGCGATTACTTCTAAATGTTCCTTTCCGATTGTCGTTAAAATCTCTGGCATGAGAGTTGTTACGGTGACACACCGGGGATTAGATCGACAGATTCCCTTTTAAAAAAATAAATTTAATAGCTCATGAGCTTTGTACTAGTGCTGTATATCTCCGCTTAATCTCTGTGCATGCAAAAACATCCACTTGAATGTACGGAAGGAGACTGAAAGGTAGAGGACATTGGTATTTTCTCTGGCCTGCAGAAGCTCCTATTTCCTGTTTCCAAAGGTAACACGCTGAAAGCAGTTCTGACAGTTGCGTGAGTGGATATGCAACCCAAATTCAAAATTCGTTGATAAACAGAAATAGTTGCCACTTCCTCTTTCAACGGAGGTGATGGGAAGTACCTATGAAGAAAGCACCTCCGTCTTGAACGCTTATTGCGAAGATATTATTAGTTCCATTCCTCAAATTAGCAGCCCCCTTACAGTCAACATATCCCTGCTTGTAAACAAAGCTCAAGTGGGTTTGTCTGTATTTATTTCGCGAAGTTGGTATTTATTTTCATCGGTAGCAAAAGCGTTCATTTCACATAAAGTGTTACAGGGGGTTTTGCATGAAGCCTCATGTCTCTGCCTTTCAGCAGCACAATGTCAAAAATCAGGTTCATAAAGTCACTGGTAAGCGAGATGTAAAGTCTTCTTAACTGTTGATATTATTCCTGGAATTGCTCAGCAAGCTTAGATGTTACTGTTGAGCATGACAATGACATTCGATGCGTTTTGATCGCTTCCTCTTTGCACAATCAACCCCTTTGCACGGTTTTCGTGAACCGAGTTCATTCCAGAATCTCCGTGTGTACAATGGATATCACGAGCTAAGAGCTGCTTGAGTCGAAAAAATCTGTTTCAGATTCTAAATCTGGAGTATGTTCGCACGTCTTAAGGATCCGGATTTTGTGCACTCATCTATTTCAGAAGCGGATCAGGATTTGTCTCCGAAACAGCTGCTATGATGTTTCTAATACTGCAACGATTTTGTTTCTGCTCCTGCCAGTACTGTATTCAGTCATATATACTACTGGCTCCATCTTCTAGTGGATAGATCACACAATCTATCCACTGGATTTTTCAAGGAAAGTTAAATAAAAACATAAACCGTTATTTACTGCAAGCATTCCTCTTCTTCAGACCAGAAAGAAAGCTCGCACCGACGGCAATGAAGTAAAATATCATTCTTCTGAGGTCCTGAATGAGGTAAGCTAAGGTCTCTCGAATGAGTTGTCCCAAGAGAATCACTTCAAGCTGGAAAGATGCGGGTCAAAGTTAAGGATTACGAAGCTGTTGAGTTTCGAAAGACTAAAACTGTCGAAGCATTGGCGAGACATGGAGGAATAGTTCTAGAAGGCCTGATCAGTTTTCGCACAAACACGGATTGCATAACGAGTTGGGAAAGACGAGATTAAAACTTGACGACCGACTCTAGTCTCAATGCTCTGCGTTATCTCTCAGAATTCTCCTTGGCAGACAGCTTTCACTTGTAATATTCTTCTGAGTTTATGGTGAGGATCGTCTGATGGCATGGGAAACATTGTACGCACGATCCGAGTACTCAACAATGGAGAAATTTCACTTGTAATATTCTTTCGAGGTTATGATGAGGATGTTTTGATGGCATGGGAAGCATTGTACGCACGATCCGAGTACTCAACAATGGAGAAATTTCACTTGTAATATTCTTCTGAGTGTACGCTGAGGATCGTCTGATGGAATGGGTAGCATCGTACGCACGATCTGAGTACTCAACAATGGAGAACTTTCACTTGTAAGATTCTTCTGAGTTTACGCTGAGGATCGTCTGATGGAATGGTAAGCATTGTACGCAGGATCCGAGTACTCTACAATGAAGCACGACATCCATTGGGTTGCAATCACATGTTTTCCCTGTGCGTTCATCTGTCGTATTCTTGCTCGACCTTTCGTAGGATATGCCTGAAATTGGTTATCGTTACATGTACATCCATTTCAATTTCACCTCAAGAGTTGACGGTGCAATGCAGAAACGAAGAGCTGACGTTTCACGACATCGTACGAAAAAAAATATTGCGTCCAGCAAAGAGCACGAAGTCGAAATGTCTGACAGTGTAGATCGTCTCTGAATCGGGATCTAAATATCCATAGAAGTGGTGAGTTCATCGTCTCCACTACTATTCTCCAGCTTGAGTCGATCGTGTAGAATAAGGCTCTTTCAAGTACATGAAGGCCTTGCTCAGTTGAGGGAGTGCTTCATCACGGAACTCTTATGCACTGCAAGCGTGCCGATTCATGTTTCCTCCGCGTGGATCTTGTTACTCGCTCTTGCAGGTCTCCCCCTGGCCCTCGAAATGAGGAGATATTGTTGGGGGCGTCTGTCTACTGACCCCTCTCCTGTTCCATCGTGGCGTCTGGAATCACTCACAACTTGGCAGGGCCATTGAGCTCACCAGCATGGCGTCAAGCAACACTTCCCAAGACTTCAGAGCATGCACGCGTGTCGACATTTATGTCCTTCGCAAGCTCCTAGTGGTGGAAGACACCGTTTTAGCTTGAGTGCTGGAGACTCAAATGGGCGTGGGCCAAAGTCATCGTGGATTCAAGAGATCGTACATCGAAGAGCGCAAGGTTTAGCTGAAATTAAATGCAAGGACCGAGGACCAGGACCCGCACGAAGCTCCGGAGCCCCAGGCCGTCACTCCTCACAACTGGTGCCACTGTCGCCGCATGATTATCGTTGACTTTAAATGTCTGAACATCAAAGAAAAATCGGGCATGCCAAAGAGTGTCTACTGTACTGTCCGATCAGGTGCTTTTTGATTTTATCTATCTAAAGCATCATCTAATAAACTACTCTTTCTATAGAAATTTAAGAAAATATATTAACATAGATGTTGTAAAAATGTCCTGTCTGGACCTCGTCATGTCGTCCATAGGCTAGAGGTTCTCCTCCACATGTGGTGCTTCGTGATGCCTTACTCTTATTAATTATAGATTTTTGCCGATGGCTGTCTCATGGCGGCTTGTAGCTGTGAGCATCTTATAGGCAAAAATAAGTGGTATGAAAAACACTGTTAATAAAATGAAAAGTTATTCAATCAAGCGTAAAGAATTGCTTCCGGAGGTAACCTTATTGCCGAAACCTCTCACATGTTTTAGTGAATAGATTGATGGAGATGGGAGCGAGAGTACCTTGACAAAAGTGATGGGATTACAGTATCTCATCGAGTTCTTACCTGTACTGAAATATATGGGTAGATGTGATTGAGATTACAATGGAATATATGTTATTGAGATGTGAAACGTGCAAAATATTTCTAGATGTAATGTCTACGCATTATAAAAGCTTCTCAAAAACTAATCTTCTAACATGATTGCTTTACCATGTCAATGACCTATCCACAGAAGAGTATGGATAATCAACCCCGTTGAAACTTATGTACCACATAACATCAATTGCAAAATATTCCACTTATAAGCTCATTTGACATAGCAAAACTTGCCCTTAAACACATTAGGCGTATTGATAAACTATATTCTATTAAAAAATCGATCGTTTTTGTTATTTACATGGACAAGGAGTCATTCAGACACCTCTTTTATATATATATATATATATATACATTGAACCATAATGACATGTTAGTAATGAAGATGTATAGATCTAGCCATGTGAAATTATATATATATATATATATATATATATTTATAAAAGAGAGAATATAGGAAATGCTAGCGTGAAAGTTTCAATGCAAAGTTTAAAAAAAGGTTCAGTATATTTCATTTTTGCTACAAAAAGATGTTGTGATTGGCACAAAGAAATGCAAATAATCAAACTACGTTGATTGTTGACTATGGGTGTGTTTGTATTATTGTGCTATTATACGAGTGGTATGATACAACTGTATTATATAACACTTTCAAACCATACCTTGTATGATTGTATAATAAAAAATCTTTAGTAACCCGATTATCATAAATGTGAGATTTCATTTGGTATTTGGACACTACCTCCAACATCATATTTATGTGAAATTTTCTAGCTGACTTCTTTGGAATCTAAAGAAGTAGTTTTTATCAACAATTACACTCAAGATCAAGATCCAAGTCTGCGAGTAAGTATTTTATGAAATGCTGGTCATGCAACTTCTTTGTAATACTAAGTCTAAAAAAAAGTGGATGTTGCCGTCTGATTATGTTACACCTGAGTCTCATTTATTACCTATCCGAGGAATAACATCTCCATTTCACAAGAAAAAGAAAAAAGTCTCTACTAGCCTATTTCAAATTCAACAAAAGTAAACATAGAAAGTTGTATCACAAGAATATTGTGTTCAAGTTACTTTTTCTTGGAAACTTCTTTAAAAAATGGATTTTCCATTTTTTAAAGAAGTTCTAACACAAGTGTACTCAATGCTGCGAGTTTCATAATAATTTTTTTTTTCTTTGCAAGATAGCTGTTTCAGTACTAATGCCAGCCTCATTATGGATGGAGGATTTACATATGCTTATGTTACACTCGAGTGGAACTAACTACATTCCTAATTAATAGCATTTCAATTTCATAGTCGGAAGAAAAAAGTCTCTACAAAACAACGTAAACATCTGCAAAAGTAAACAAAGTAAAAAAACAAGTTTATTTCACAAGAATATTATGTTCTTTGAAGAACACTAAAACTCTATTTGAAATGGGAAGCCAAAAGATGCAATTTGGAAAAAGTTTGTAGCTTGTTACATGCAAGGTGATGCCAAATCAATGTAATGCAAGTGATTCACTTGCAACAACTTGGTGATTGCGGCAATGGATTGCATGTGCAATCACTATGCTGGGATGTAAGAACCGGGCACGTTCAATAGGCCAATTTGAGATCAAATTTCAACCATTTCAAAAAAAATGTTACAATTAATTGTTAGTTCGTCGGCTCTACAAGTACCAACAGGAGCAAGTCAATGTTCCAATGAACAACAACTTGAGCAAATCGATGTACTCAAATGATTACGGGGATATAGTACCCTTAGTATAATATACTAGAATTAGATTTACCTGAGTTTAAATTTTGAATTAAGTACTAATGCAAGAGCATATACCATACTAGTAATTGGAGTGTGAAAGTGTAGAATATGCTAGAAGTATGAATGAAGATAAATTTTTCATTGATATGGTGAGCAAAGAGTAAGTTTTTTCAAAAACTCATCTTTTGTCTTCCATGTTGCTTTTTGAGTAGAATCATCTCATTTTCACATCCCTTATACATACTTCAAGGATGATATATGCAATTCTCTTTTCTTCATATAGCAATATTTATTTTTATTTTGAAAAGTCCATGAGTTTGTGTGAAAAAATTTATTTTCACCTAAAGATTGATATAGGAGAGGTTCTAGGCACTAGGTTTTGATGAAACATTACCATTTTTTTTGGGAATTTTGAATATCATAAGTAAATTGAAATGATAATTGATGAGAGAAATATATTGCTTCTCACAACTATTTAAATTTTTTTGACCCATTAACTGACATCATATTAAATAATGTCTTTGCAACAGTAAAAGGTACACAAATAACTTCTTTTTTTGTGTCATCTTTTTCATAAAACTTTCATTCATTAAACTAACAAGTTATAAGAAAAATGATAATGGAAAGAATCAAATATTAGTAAAACATAATGTTATATTTTATTTAAGTTGTTGCCTACTTTCACAAGATCACAATCATTCAAGTAAAAATGCCAATACGAGAATACAGAAAAATTCCATCACAAAAGTATGTGGTTTGACACTAAAGAGCTACATCTATGAGAACAGTAGGTTTGATTTTTCTGCAAGAATACTTGGTTAACATCATCTTGTTAACTTAAGTTAGTATGTCTTAAGATGTATGTATTTTCTGCAAGTTTCTTGGTTAACTAAAGATTGCAACTAAAGATTGATTAGTTCAATTTTGTTATCAAAATTTACATCTATTATGATACAATTTCTAATTCAATATGTTTCATTTGTAACAAGATGTAACACATTGTGATTATCATAATGAAGTTTGACAATTTATTGTTTTGATGACATCTCAATGATATACCTATTCAACCAAATAGTTTCCTTTTCAATTTATGTTGTTGTTATATTTTCAGCTTTCTTTGTGAATTGAACTATGCACTTCTTCAAAGTAGATTTTCAACTAATGCATACATCTTCAAGTGTAAATACATACCTAACTGTAGATTTATTCTTGTCCAGATCTTGTTCCTAGTTAGCATTATCATATCATAGCAAAAATTTGTCATTGTTTAATAAAACCTTAAACAAACTATTAATATTTAGTAATTTTTATGTATATGAGGTTTCATTTCAAAAGTATACTTTGCACCTTTACTAAATTTGACATGTATCTGGTCACCTTGGCATAGTTAGACGTCTCTAGATATGAAAAATTCCATATATTTTGTATTTTTACAAAATACGGATTGTCATTTCAGCACTAAAAACTCACTTTTGACAAGAACAATGTTTGGAAATGGAGAATCTAATAGTCCAAAAAAATTATTCTTCTCAACTCAATAAGTTGAGAAAACATGTTCTTAATGCTTGAAATATCCAAAGACTCAGTGAAGTCGATTACTGTTATCAAACAGTTTAGAGCATTGCAAAGTTGTTGTTCACGGTTCGCAACAATCAAGATTTGTTTGTGTTATTTCACTATTTCATCATATCCTTTTTCCAACAATCCTAGTTGTGACTGAAGCAAGTTATATGCTCTTTTCACATAGGGATTACAAGCATTGTGACTTTTTGGCATGATTGATTGAACTTTCTTTTAAGTGCCCCAAATGGAATGGTTTTCCACGCAATGCAAAGTCTTTATTCTATATGGCATATTGAACCGCTCTTCTCGTAGACTGGTTCTTATTTGGACTTGTGCTCTCATGTGAACACTTGAGCCTTACTTAGGCCATGAGGCTCATGGCCTAAGTAATCCGTGAGAATTTGTGTTGGACTATGGGTAAGAGTGTCCTGCAAGGTGTTGTGGATCTCATCCGCTTAAATGACTCGTGTTCTCTCCTAGCTAGTAATTTTCTATGGATGCAACAATAAAAATGCCTCATATTTTCCTATGCGTACACAATGCTTACGGTAGTCTTGCATTTTACCATGTCGAAGCCAAGCAATAGATCTCTCTATCGCTGAAGCGACCCATTGACAACAGGAAACATTGATGGCAAATCGAACGCGTTCACTGTGAGTGCACTAGCGAGTACACTTGTCATGACATCAGTCGATATTCCGGCGATCGCGACGAGCTTCCTCCTCCTGCTCCCCTGTTATGAAATTGTGTAACACGTTGTTATTATTATCTTCCTATGAATCTCTTTCTCGGGCCGAGCCGTGGTTCACGATCTGTCAGTCGACTTGCAATCGACGTTTGTCAAAGTTGTGGATATGCAGCCCATGTGTGACGTAGACCAGCCTCAACAGATGCGACCTTCACCCGTCCATGTCTCTCTCGCACTGCTCCCCGACGAGTTCAGCTCTTGTTCGAGCATGATTGACCAGACCAGACACGATTTCTGCGTCACATGGCACATCGCTCGGATTGCTCAGAGCTGACATTGCAGTTTCTTCCATTGGTTCTCTAGCAGCTCATCGAGCACAGGAATTTATTGCGCTCGAATTTCGTCCGTGGGTTACCCTGAAAGTGCGCAATGTCATGTCATGTCACTTCATTCATTCAATTCATAGAAATTGTCCTTCAATTCACCAAAAAGACTTTGATACGCATTTCGTGCGAAAGTTTCAGCATCCAATTCTCTCATTGCTGTGAACTAATGTGTACCTTTGAACATCTACACCACCGCTTACTACATTTGGATATACTTGACTGTATCTGATGACATGTGAGAATAACAAGAATGCTCATAATTCCTAGTAATAAGATGAGCATCTAATAGCGCATCACCTTAAGTGTATTTTTTTTCCATGTATATACAATTTATTTTAATGTATGTTACTACTTCTTGTTGGAATAATAAAAACACATCCACTAAATATGTTGCACAAGAACCTAAACACGATAAAACTCTTGCGTTTGTTCTTGCGTTTGTTTTCACAACTCATCATGCATGACTCTCACGAGTGTCTGCTTCTATACCTCTGGATAGTCCCAGTGTTAGTAAAACAAAAAGTTGATATCTTTTCACATGTATTTAACTGGAGATCTTTACATCTTCCACTGCATTCACTACTGATCATAAATGGTATTTTCTATTAGAGTGTGTCACATGTACTATCCATAACTACCATATTTGCAATATGAACTTGAAACTCCTGAACCAAGTATAAATATACTTCAGCTTTTGTTGACTACAAGACCTACGAACGCCCCATCACATGATTTATTTATCCTCTCTTATCATAACGTATGCCATCTTAAATTGATATGCTAGGTACGTTAGATAATATAGAGACAAATGAAATAGTGACACACTCACTGATGTTCCAATGAAGATGGATAGACCAAGCATACGTGGAATCTCATCGTCGTAAAAACAAAATCTCTGAAAGTAAAAACTAGCTAACATCATTCCGAATTCCATTGCCACGTAGACGAGCAATCCAACACAGAGGAATCCACGTGACACACAATACCAGCAGGCCAAGCTTGCAAATGGGGTGATTTCTGGTCTAGTCTAGTCTAGTCTAGACTAGCAAAACTCTATCCAACCAAGTACTTTTCTGAGTTTTCAATCAAGTAAGATGTGTCTGTCCAGCGTAACTGGGTTGTAAGGTTGACCTTGATGATGCCATGAGTCAAACAAGACTCACCAGGATGAAGTCAATGGTCGGAGATTTAGAACGAGAGATATGAAACCGGTGGACTCAGTCTTCGACTTTATATACAGAGAGCAGAAACAGTTCCAAGGAGCACCACAACTCGTGCCGTGTCTCGATGTTTGCCATTTCGTTCATATAGCAGGAGTTGCCGTACGCCACCGACAATTGGCACCCAGACTGGATAAAATAATCTGAACTGTTCATAATTCAGTCCATATCTGAATATATCAACTGCATTTATTGTCCAAAACACTCCGAAAGGCGTCACTCTGTCAGATCAGATTCAGTGTAGTACAGCTCGAGTACGATGGAGGGGATGGAGCAGGGAGAGGGGTTGGCAATGAAATCGATGCAGTACGATTTCCGCTATCACCCCAAGCTGAGGAATCTTGACTTTCGGAGCCACAACCTACAGTGGAGCCCAATGTCAACCCCGCGTACACGAGGAACCGTGGAGATCTGATTGGCTCTCAGAGCACGTTGTGTGGAAATACGCAGACTGCACGGTATCCTTACGACGGAAAGCCGAAGCTGCAAACTCCAACTCGTGCCCCCCACTATTGTCTCCCCTTTGTCTGTCTACCAAATCTCTTCGCAATGATGCTTCGGATGGCCCAACATTTTCCCACTTGTGGATGGAGGCTGGCGGAGGGCCACAAAAGTCAATCGGTTCTTTTGACTCCTTTCCAAACACGATGTGTCATCCATCAGGTGTGAATCAGATTTGACCATGTCAGCCTCTCCATGTGAGCCTTCAGGAGGCTCAAACGGTTTCCTCGAGCTTGGGCTTGAGGAATCCTGGAGCTGAAGCTTATTAATCCCCAGCCTTGACATGAGATCCCAGTGCAGTTCTGTCATTGTCATTGCTATTCTGGGCTTGAAAAGAGGAGCTCTTCAAGCCTCATTCTTCCGTCCTCAGGTAGCACTTGTCCTCTCTGCTTTCTCCAATTCCAAGTGATCCTGCGAAGAGAAGTTCATCGTCAAGTAATGAGCGAGTAGATCATGAACCACGAGTGAGTACTTGCTCACCAAATCTTGCTTAACTATGCCTGTAGGCATTTCTTATTTTCTTGAAAGGATCGTCTGAACCGAGACTTTTGTGGACATTGTTTTTCAAATTGAAGAATATGTTGGAGCTGATTCCTCCCAATAATAAATTTTTTGGCGTTCTCTGCTCAGTGACATGTCCCATGTTGGGATGTGAACATGAAATATATGAAACTTGGGCTACTAGGCAAAGTAGATTACAACATTGCTGTACCATCGCTTAGACTGCGATTGGCTCATCAATCTTCATCCCGGTCTCATGCAATCGTGGACTAGTTGTACTGACTCGTAGCGAGGAGGGTGGCACTTGTTTACAGTGTCGATGGTTTCTTCTAATTTCTGGCAGCTGTATGTTCATCAAAATAAATTCGTACGACTGTGTACGAAGTTTTGACGAGGCCGAGTAGAAATGCGCATGCAGAATTCAAACTCATCTTTTCGGCTTTTGAGGATCCTGTTATCAGAGAACATAGATTTGAGCGATCAGACTTGCAGGCGAGCTCAAGCGTAGTGGACATGGACAACTAATGCTCAGCCATGTGTTATATTGTGATGCAGATTCCGAAGTTGACACTCGATTGTCCCGTAGCTTTTCGAATCACGTTGCAAATTCGACACAAGTGATCGAAAGCAGCTCCAGCGAGGGAATCAGACGAGTGCAACCGGTGCGATCCACTCGTGGACTCTAGCTTGCTCATGATGGTCAACATGGGAGAGAATTGTCATCACGTGGCGGTTTCCACGTACAGCCTGCTGCTGCTCGTAGCATGCATGATCGGTAGCACTTTCCATACTGCTGTGGCTCAAACTGAGACACCCAGCGCTGCTCCGACTCCTCCTGCGGATGACACCGGCTCGGACCTATTTCCCAGTCCCGACCCTACAACCACCCTCACTGACGCTGAAATTCTGAGGTTCGAGCGGGCCGCAACGGAAGACATGGGCACATACAACATCGCCTTCACTACTACGACCGACTATACACATTGCAATATTCGAGGATTCTACGATGCAAAGAATTTGACCACTCACACTTTGATAACAAACTGCTTCAATGAGCTCAGCAACCAAGTGGAAGCGTTATATGCTCAAGGTGAGGCGTTTTATTCCGACGAGTACTACTATCCGACTGGGTATCCATACTGCGCCATCAAATGCTTCACCATCACGGACTCTTCTGCCTTCGCGGTGTCCTCTAAGCAGCTGAGCATCGTCTCCGCAGCCGCTGCCTCCATGGTGTTCTTAGCACTGGCCCACTTGTAAGTATCGATCAGATCGTACCTTCGGTGATCCTCTTTGGCACTGACTACGACTTTCAGCCACTGCAGGCTTCCAAATTGAGTGACATCCCACCATCACTTGATTCAAGCACGCGCAGAATGACGACATCGACTGAGCCCTCGAAGGCTTTATTGGTCATCATACGCTCAGTTTGTATTACTAGTTGCCAGAACCATTCCTTCGACAGTCCATTGGATTCTTTCGATAGATAATTGAACGTAGTTGTGATCGGGATCACGAGTCAGAATCGGCTTCAGAATTAAAGCTTATCGAAAGTAAGGACTCAACAAAGGGAGCTCTTTCAGTGTGTACAGATTCATCACACGCTTGCAGCATTGACAGGTCTATACGCAGTGCCTGATCATTGTACCGTGATCTTGAATACAGTGAGCAAATATGAACGAAGTCGTCGAGGTTTATGACGACGAATGAATTTTTCTCTGTGTAGCTTTGTTGTGATCTAATTTACCATTCATTTTATAAATTTAAATAAAAATTCATTCAAACCCTCGGGGTCTCCATGGTCTTGAATCACTTGTCAGCTTAAATGCAATTCATACCACGTTGTTGACGCGATTTTCTCTGTTCAATCTTGTGTCAAAGAACCATGCAAAGTTTCTTGACTCTCTATTCAAATTTTTTTACTGCAGTACATAAAGTAAACTAGGTTACCTTATTTCTGAAAATATGAATATAGATGTTTAGAATGCATGTAAATTGTGCAAGAATGATCAAGTTTGTATGACTATATGATACAAAAGGTATGATAAGATTCTAAACTATCAGTCATACTTGATTGTAAAGAGTTCTATACATTTTCAACATTAAAGGAGGTAGGTTTCATGGATGCATATTGACTGTTGGGTGAATTTAGATCAGTTCTTTCTTATTTTGAACACATTCTATATACTTTGGTTACTGGGTCACTACTGTAACAATTTTGCAATGAAAAATGTCTCATTTTTTTCAGAAATACATATTTTATGTTTTTGTTTTGGTTAATCTCTAATAAGTCTAAGAAGTGATACATGCATCACATAATTTCTCAATAATGTTGATTGTTTCAACATTGAATACATGGAATTCGAAATCCGGTCTTCTCTCATCATTAACTCTAAAATGGTCAAAGACATAAGAAAAATCTCACATTTGACATGACTTTTACAAAAATAGCTAATTACATCTTTATCTAAGTATGACAGCTGCACCAAAAATAATTAGTAGACATCCAAGTGTTTGGCTTGAAATTGTATGAGAAAAGTTAATCATGTATGTGAGACTTTCCATTTTATGATCACATTAAACCAGCCTCATAAAGCCTAGGACTTCTCAATATAACTTAGTTTGTGTACGACTACAAGTTTCAATCTTGAAATTTTTAGTACATCGTAGACATTTTAACTAAAATGTTATTGAGCTGTGTGGTTTTACTACCCTAAATCCCTTCCTACCGGAGCTCTAATGAGAGCCATTCTTAGCCGAATAGCTTCAGTGCACGGCCAAATTACATCTGCTCATTATAAAAGAATTTACTAAACAACAACTACAAGCTTCTATAGATTGAGCTCATTGCATGTGCTCCTAAATCTGTCTAAATTTCTAGTCTTAAATTATTGAAGAGTTTTATGTTCCATTAGAGATATCTTTAATTCTGAATCTACATCAAGCGGATCAGTTTATAGAGAATGATCAACCTCGTCAAATTGAAGAGATTGGATCTATAATGATAAAGACATAAGTACTTTGACTCATGTTAGGTTTATACCTAATATGAAGAGAACTTGATCTCGTTGGAAATGTTGGATATAAAAGAACTTGCTTGGAGTGCTAGTGAGTCTTAATTCAAGCAAAAAGAAATGAATGATTATTATCAAAGATCACAACAGCCATAAGAAACTATGTGCTTCAAGGCATTATCATCGTTGGAGAGGCGCATGCTTAATTTGTTGCGGGGAAGATGACTAACTTGTGACATTCACGTTTAGTGGTACATCAACGTCAAATACTTGGCTATGTTATTTTATAACAAGTTCTCCAACATAGGGAATAGTGATATTGACTTTTTGTGAGCATTATATCATGATCAAGCATAAGAGTAAGTCTTTTGGTGTTGGAATTCATAGTTTTAAAGAACTTTTTGAGTAAATACATAGTGATGTGTGGAGATATTTTTCACTTTTTGGCAAATGATACTACGTAATTTTCAAAAGTGATTACATGAATCTAGTTTTTCATGAAAAAAATTGAGGCCTTTGCAACGATATAAAGTTGAAAAAATCTTGCATGGAGAATTACAATGGGAAGAAAGTAAAAACTCTAAATATAAAGATTAGATATCTAAGAACTGATAATGGCGGTGAATACGTTTCTATAAATTATGAAAGTTTTTGTTAAACGGAGAAGATTATTCGGCATTTCATCGCAATTATACTCCAAGGCAGAATGCCATTGTTGAGCGATTCGATAGTACAGTGTTGGAAAAGGTGCAGAATATATTGAATCAATATCATATACAAACTTTGGATTGAGGCTGTTAATACAATGATTTATTTGATAAATGTTTCCACTTCAAATGCAATTGATTTTTTAATACTGTTTGAACAAAATCACAAAGGTATGGTTGAGTACAATTGTGGGTTCTAGCTTGTACTTATTAAAAAATAGGTACAAGCTAGAACCCACATCTAAGAAATGTTGTTTTCTTAGATATTATATGAATGCGGAAGGTTATAGGTTATGCAATCTCGAAATCTGTAAGATTATTGCTAATAGAGATGTTTCTGTCATTGAACCAAGATCATTGAAAAGTGGAGAGAATTGCTGAAGCTTCTGTTACCAACCTGGATAAATTTTTTCTTTCCACACTGTTGAAGGAGAAATTGATCATTACATTTTTAATGAACTCCCACAAGAAAATACTCCTTTTCAAGAGAAGGTCATTTTTTAGCAACATTTCTTGTTGCTCAAAAAATGGAGTAAATAATAATCGTTGATGAGTCTTTGACTAGAGCACCAGATGATCAAAATCAAGTTGAGTCAACTACTAGAAGATTTTCAAATAGATCTAGTAGAGCTTCTAAAAGATATGGAATATTAGCAAATTCTTCTTTGCTTGAAGAAAGTGATATTGTTAGAAAGTAGTAAGATGACAATGCTATAATTTTAGAAAAAGATAAATCTTCTTGGTATTATGAAGCTCAAGTTTATGTAGCCAAGTTTGAATGAAATGTTGCAATGGAAAAATGAATGCAATCATTTGAAGATAATAAGACTTGAGATATAGTCAAACGTTCTCTAGATTAACTTATTGTGGACATAGGAATGTACAAGCTGAAAGATGATACCAAAGAATAGGATAAAAGACTTTATAAAGCAAGTCTATTAGACAAGACATATACACAAGAAAAAGGTGTGGACAACTATGATGTGTATTTTCTAATATCCAAACTTTCTACATTTCAGTTAATATGTGCATTTGTAGCAATTTTTGATCTTGTTTTAGATCAAATATATGTTGTTACTGCTTTCTCTATGAAGCATTGGAAAATATGATCTACATGAGACAACCTCAAGACATTGCTCAAAAGAACAAGGAGATGTGGGATTTTTCTTTTAAAAAATAAAATAAAATTAGGACCATATAAATAAATAGATATTAATATTCCAAAAAAAAATATATTAAAAGAAGTAATTAAATTAAATAAAAATTTTAAAAACTTGTAAGAATCACAATAATTAAAATAATTTATTTATAAAGTAAGCCAATATCATAAAAAATCAACATTCATTTTATCGGCATCAAATAAAATTCCTATAAAACCTATAAATATAGATGGTTTTATAGGTTAGGATGGTTTTATAGTATGTCAATAATATTAAAGTAAAAAAAATTATATTATTAGCTTCTTTAGGATATAAAGTAGGTTTTTTGTCTAGTTTAAAATCTCCTTTGTTAAATTCTAAACTTGTTCTTCTTGATCAAATGTGTAACTTGCTTTAGTGGAATAATGTTGAGGAGTTTCAGGTATTAAACTTAGATTTATCAAAGACTCATGCATGGTGCTGAATAGTAAACCTCTTTCCCTAGTCTTAAAGCTAAATACTAGTTATAAATACACTTAAAAGAATTACAATAATTTGACAATCCGAAATTGAGCTCATTATTTTTTTTCTTTAATCATTAAAAAATAAAATGAAATGTATAATACAATAAATCATTACTTCAAAAATTTATATTTTCTTTTTTTTAAAGATGGAAATAATTTTTTCCTTGTTCCATAGTTATTTTTGTGCTAAAAGTAAAATTCCAAAAATTATCAAGAAATTTGGTCATATCATTATTCCAATCTGTAAGACCATTTATCAAATTCATAGAAACTGAATTTCTTGGACGTGCCTCTAGCAATTGCTCAACTTTTGGAAGACCTTGCATAATATCACCAGATTTTAATCTTTCATCTATAAGTGTTATTATAGTATCTCCTTCTTTGATGGATTCACCATAATTATTATTACCAGATAAGTTTTAGCTAATCGAATAATACAATAGTTTATATTTATAATTACAGTTTGATCAGATGGAAAACTTGTTTTATATTTAGATATCACAATTTTTTTTAAAAGCAATTGTCCAAGCTTTAAAATTTTTTAAATACTTTTTTTTTTCCAATAAAGAAAATAACGGAAAACTCCAATTAAGTAATTTATAATTTATAGTTTTTCCTAAAATTCATTTATTAATTTTTTAGATTCATTTATTAAATACCATTTTGGATTTTGACAAGTATGTTTATTAATAATCGGATATATATTTTATCTTAATTTAGAAAAATTAATTGAGTAAAATGAACTAAAAAAAATTTGTATCAAAATAACGTAAATTACCTATTATTCCTAATTTTTTGAATAAAAGAATTCCTAAAGAAATTATAAATTTGTTAGGTTAAAAAATTTTTTCTTCAAAATTCTCAAAATTTTATTAAAAAAAAAACGTTTGTCACAATAAATTCACAACACAAATTCAACAAGATTTTTAGAAAAAATGTTGGTGATGTAATAATATAAGCTTGAATTTAAAGATTAATTTCATTATTTTTGTTTTTAAAATCATCTTAGTAATTTACAAGTAATAACAAAGTGAAATTAATCTTGTAATCCATGCAATAAAAAAGGAAAAAAATAAAAGCCTGATTGCCATTACACCAAAATAAATATACTCTTTGAATAAATCCAATTAAAGGAGGAAGTACTTCCAAAGATAATAAACATAATGTGAAGGAAAACCTTAATAATGTATCTTTTACATACAAACCTGCATAATCACGAATATTATCTGTTCTGTTATTGTATTATATAAACGTTAAATGTATATAAAATACAAGCAAATGTTCCCAAATCTATAAAAATGTAGAAAAAAACATAAATCGTCATATTAATGTAGCCTTTTAGATCACTTGTTACCAATCCACTAAGAATATATACTATTTGATTTATTGAAGACTAAACAAGC